CTTAAGTGAGGACTTGTGGTTGGCACACTTCTTTTACCGTTTTGTTGTCAAAATATGAACGTTGTGAGCCAAAACACTGTTGTTTAGTTGTCAATGCCGACTTGCATTGTGGGCAGCTCGTGTGACCACAATTAACCGCGTCATCAATGTTTTACGGTTGTGTGACGCGAACTGTGCTGTGGGGCAACAATTTAATCTTATCTTGACTGATACGCAATTCGGCTCGGTGAATAGAATTATGCCACCGCTTCTCTTGCATGTTACATTTTGTCGCCTAAGATACAGAATTAAACCACTTTGCTAAAGGTTACTTTCCTCTTGTGAGGCTGCAAGCCATCTGCTTTATGTTGTTTTCTCCATTTCAAGACCCCTCCCTCAGAGTCTAAAACCAAACCTGCTCAGGGACCATTTTCCCTGCTCACGGTCGGCAGGCATTGTGTGTGTGTGTGTGTGTGTGTGTGTGTGTGTGTGTGTGTGTGTGTGTGTGTGTGTGTGTGTGTGTGTGTGTGTGTGTGTGTGTGTGTGTGTGTGTGTGTGTGTGTGTGTGTGTGTGGCGCATACTAGACGCAGCGAGCGAATGGGACCGCTGGGATGGCAGCTGAAGCAGGAAGCTCCATTTTACTGAAGTTGATGATGCGGTTTCCTCGGAGCTGACAATGGAAGTATGGGGGCGGGGGGGGGCTCAGGGCGGCACCAGGTGGCCTCCTGTGCTTAATGACTCTCACCCGTATTCTGGTGAGGTGGGCCAAGGCAAAGGCTCGATCTGCTGTCCGTTGCCTCAACCCCCCCCCCCCCAGCCCACCACACATAAACACACACCCAGGACACTTACACAGCTTCTTCCCCACTCGTAAAGCCCACCTGTCCCCTTAACCCTGACACACTATAATACAACTCTGTGAGAAGTTGGAATTGACTTTACAGGATAAAAGGGCTTTTAGCTTTCTAGCACAGTGCATTTGGCCCTGCGTGGTGTGCGAGCTGCACTTAGTCTTTGTCACTGTTGTCGTTCTTCCTGTTCACATATTTTCATAAACAAATGGCGTCCTTCCCCCGGAGGCTGCAGCCGTTTTGAATGTGTTCTGATCTGCTCGTTAAGACAGGTGCGTGCGGGACATGAACCGTCCCCTGTGGCTTAAAGGGCTGTAAATACCGAGTACCCCCCGTCCAGGCCTATTGGCCAGCAAGTTGTGTTGCTTCGATGCGTAAGTCAGATGTTCCACCGGCAGCGACCCGAGAAACGCTTAGCTCCTCCTCCAATCAAGCGAACGGCACATCCTGAGGATGCGAGGGCGTCTTCCTGCGGCGTTTAAGGCTGCGTGTGCATGTTTGTCATGTGGCAGGAGGTGGTTACGTGTGTGTGAGAGGGGGTGGGGGAGGGAGAGAGATAGGGGGGTGTTGTCAGATGATGGCTCCTGGAGCCGAGTAGGGGGAGGAAGAAAAAAGAAAGCAGCAAAGGAGAGGAAGAGAGAGGGGGAGCCTTTACACAACAAACAGGCATCCCCTCCCGTCCTCCTGTCCCCTCCTCCCGCTAGCTGTGCACACATCCTCGCAACTGTTGGTGATATAGACCCCGGAGGGGCTGTTAACGGCAGTGGCATGGAAAGTATCTGCTGTGAGGCGAGCCAGAGAGGCCAACCCCCGATGCTACGGTCTTTGTGGATCTGCCACAACCTTGGGGCTGCTGATACATCTGCTGCTCGACTGATTATCACAACCCCACGTCTCTCTGTGTGTCCCTCTCTTTCTCTCTGTGTTGGTCGTAGACCTTCTATCTCAGTTTTTCCTCTCTCTCTCGCTCTGATATGAATGGGACACATGATGGGGGGGACCATCGGTGTTTCATTTTTATCTGCAAATGCAGATGGTGTTTTCCGCCTTGAACTTGGTTCAGCCTTGATGTCTCCTCCGCGCCTTCCTCAGATGATTTATGTCACGTTGTCTCGTAACATTTTCCGCACTGGCTCCCAGGTCAAGCAGAGACCCAGAGTCGCGTCCTCCGAGCGAAGGCTCGTCTGCAGCGTGGCTTCGTTAAATCCCTCTTTAAACGGCACATGTGTGTGCAACGCACTATTCCTGGATGCGTGTTCGAGCCACGTTATAGAAGAGTTCTTTCTCTCTTTTTGGGGAGTCTGTCGAAGTCTGTTGGATGTCAATAGCGCTCAATCATTTCCATTAATGCGTCATTGAGGCATGGTCATCACAGCCAGGCATTCAACCCAAACCAGTGTTGGAAGGAGGGAGCTAATTGAGAATCGACTAAAGTGTGTCAAGCCATTTTCAACCTCCCTGACTTTTGACAAACCACATGCATGTTGTTTGTCGACTGGACCCTGCACCTTTTTCGTTGTTTGTTTTGGCCTCAAATCGGTCCATTGCTGAAACGTTAGCCCACAGCTTACCCTCTTGTAATACTGACAAAAACCACAACACCGTCCTCTCCTTCAGTGCAGCCAGCCACCGGCTCTGCCTCTAGTGCGGGACACTGTCATGGGATGAGGAACTCACGTGTTGTAAGAGGAGGGATAATAGAATGCCTCAGAGGCCCTTGTAGGCAACATGGAGCAACACAGTGGGAGGAAAAAGGGTGTGGAAGAGAGGAGTAAGAGGTTAAGCCAGCAGGGGAGACGGGTGAGAGGAGTAGCAAATACCTTCAGGGCAAACTGCTGTTTGCAAGGCGGGCCTACAGAAGGGCTGTAGTGATGACACACCTTTTGACAAGCCTTGACTCTCCCTCCAATCTTTGTCCCGTGAGCGTGTGTGAATACGAATGGCCTGATTTGTTTTGGCTCTCGATCGGTGCACTTTAAAGTTTATCGCCCTCCCCCAGCTCTCTTATCTACGAGTCCCATTGATCATTAATGCGAAGCAGGCAAAGTACTGCAAAGCGTTCATCCCGCCGAGACACGCGCGAATGTCGGTAAAAGTGTGTTGTTGTGCTGCCCATGTTTGCCAGAGGTCGCGGGTGGTGTCGTCCTAGTGCGTTGGTTCGATGGGCCGATGGAGGCAAAAAGGTTCTCACAGGACGTGTCCCTCTCAACCCGTCAGCGTTAGTGAGAGCCAGGGCCGAAGAAAGGCCACAAACACTACATCAATTCCCCCCGCCACCCCACCCGTCTGCCATCTGAGAGGCAGTGTGGCACTTCAAAGGTGGAGCAGGGCGGCGTTAATCCAGGGGGCTGTAGCGAGCCCTCCAATCTGCCTCCTCGACTCTCCACTCGTCCCCCTGGCCGTGCCCCCACAGACTTTCTGGCCCCCCCCAGACTTTCTTTTTTTTTGCGAAGCGAGATCAAAGTGCAGCCCGTCTCTGATGGATGGCCTCGGTCCGGTCCGGAGGCCGCCAGACGAGGGGGACCAGGAAATGGAAGGGAGCGTGACACAGGATCTCCCACGCGCACACACACACGCGCACACGCTTGTCCACGCGGGGACACACATGCTGCCTTTCCGTCCTGTGAGGATCACCGGTCATGGGCACAGCTGCGCGGCCAAACAGCGAGACGAGGACCTTTTGCTGGAAAAATATGAGTCCCGCTACCCCCAGACTCAAAATATCCTCTCGTCCGCTCTGGCCTTCGTCTCCCATGCGCTGACCCACAAGTCTTCCTGCTTACGGTGTGTCGTAGAATTGTTTTTAATTTGCCGCTGTGAGACCGTTGGATTTGTAGACTTTTTTTAAATGGTTTGTTAGAATGTGCTCATGAAACCTAATGAACTGTTCTTCCTGTGCTTGGTGAGACGTAGCATATACGTACGTCTCGTCATCGCCAGTGCACTCCCGGTGTCTTTCTCTCGCTTGCGGCTCCCTCTCTTGTGGTAGAACATGAAGCGTATCTTCTCCTTCAGCTTCTTTCTCAACCACCATTCTGCCTCTTCCCCGCCCCCGTTTGTTATCATCCTGACGTGTTAGAACGCGGCTTCCGGTCGCTTACCGTGGCGGGGCGGGGGGTGCGTGTGCGCTGACCTCTAGCGACCCCTAAGCTCGACCAGGCTCCGTTAGAGAGAGGCGGACGGATAAGAGGCGAGTGAGTGCTCGATGATTGAGCGTGCCTCCTTGTCCTCGAGATGATTCTTTTTTAGTATTTATTTTTTTTAACCTATGAACCCGTAGTAGTGCGTCTGTGGATGATGTAGGGAGAGTGACACACACACAGAGGGGGAGAGAGAGAGAGAGTTTTGATCTGTTGCTAGTGTAAGAGGAAGGAGTGGTCAGCTGTGGGGAGGCGCTTCTTTTTCCTCTTTGCTTCCAGCCTGAGGGGGCTTGTTTGTGACCTGCTACAGGGGGCTTTAGGTGAAATGGACACTTGGCTGACGGAGCAAATGCATTTGCATTTCTGCCCTTTCAGCCTCCCTCTCTCCCTCGTTCTGTTATGTTCTACTCCAGACTTTTTTGGTATCATTTGGAGGAGAAAGCAGTGCATGCTGGGAAGCAGTGTGGGGCGCTCCGTTGTGGTTGGTCAGCGAGAGGAGGGGGGGGGCGGGAGGGCACGGCTGTGTGTGAAGCTCTAGGCCCCTACTGCCTCCCATCTCTCCATGGTGCTTTCAGGTCTTTTAGAGTTTGCTCTGCCGGTTATTGCCGCTTCATAAAACCTCAATGGCGGAAGCACAATGCCAGGAGAGGGGTCACGGCTGAACTTGAACCTCTGCTTCAGCCAAACAACCACCGGCACACCGAGACGCCCGACTCGGACAGCGACGCATTCCAACCGTCCCTCCTGCTGTCCGCCTCTGCCAGCTGAATTTACCTGAGTACCAGTGGGCTCAGTAATGGTCGTCTTCTTTGTGCAGTATCTCAACTTGGAGCTGAGATACTGACCGTTCTCCTCATTGGTTGATTGGTCAAAAATTGTTTTTGTTTGTCATAATGCCTTTTTCCTCTGAAATCTCCGTATCAGAATTTTTCCATTGAGCGGCGGCGACCATTGATCCTACTGAGGACTCTGATTTGTTGTTGTCTTGTGTGTTCTGACCCTCCTCTCTCTCTTGTCGCGTTCATCCAGGAGTTGGAGAAAGCCCTGTCAGAGCAGGACCTGGACTTCCTCAGGGACCTTATTGCTTGTCTTCTGCAAGGCTGCTACCAGCGCAATGATATCACGTAAGTATTGAATTAAAAAAAGGCAAAGGCTGTGGAAGTAATGCCACTGCAGCTTATCCCAAAAGTTAGATGAGGTTTTAATTTGGGCCCAAGGGAGAATTTGTTGTTGACTGGAATCACTGGCGTTCATGATATCAGCACTTTGACGGTAGCAGCAAATGACACCAAAGTTTAGCGGTGTACAAATCAATCTAGTTTGGGTTAATAGCCTGGTTTCAGCAGTGCACTAGTGCCCCGCTTCAGTAAGTGTTTGTGATAAAATACCAATATGAAATTGATAGGACCTGTTTTGTTTGGGTTTCCATACCAGAAAAGTAAATTATTGATATCTTGCTTTGAGAAACACGAAAATAGTGAACAAATAAGGCCCAAGTCCAAAATAATGTCCCACAACAAGCAGCCAAATAATATATTCAGTTATTTGATACTGTTTAGTTTGTCAAAGAAGGATTTAGTAGCTTAAAGCCGTACATCTGAACTCTAGGTCTTCATCTTACCAGATCTAGCATAGTGGGACCATCCCCTGCGTTTTTTTTAAATAAAACATTAGGCACGCTGGAAAAATAATCAATACAAGTCCCTCCTCCCCATCTTTTGACAGGTAGCTGCAAAGATAAAAGCAGAATTTCCATCTCCTTTTTAAATTAGTCATAGCACCCAAGAGAGCCTCCATAGGAAGTCTGACTAACCGGCGCGATGAGTCGCTGAGGCGTCAGAATGTACGATGACTTAAGGTCTGTGGTGAACGAGTGCTCCACCTCTGCAGCAGCATACGGCGTGTATGCAGCACGGAAACTTCCTCCTCCGTAACCATGTTAAAGTGAGTTCTAACCCAAATCCCAACATGGGTTTACTCTCTCATGGGGCTCCCCCCGATCCCACCCGTCATTTGAAGAGTAGCGCCGTGGTCCCAGCGAAGCGATGAGAGGCAGGAAGGGTCCAGTTCTTCCGCCCGTGCAACCGCTAACAGGAGGACAACCTGCCTTATTGGACTGGACAGGCGCTGGCATCCCGGGGGTTGCCGCCCGGCGCTGGCCTTTCACAGAGCTGCCCTTTTCATCCGCATGTGTTAAACGCTCTGCCGGAGCGGGGGAGAGAAGGGAGGGAGCATGTTGGGTGGGAGGACGAAGGATGGAAAGTGGCGAGTGGGAGTGGGGGGGGGGCTGCAGCTGTGTGAAAAGTGCACGCTGCTCTTTCAAGATAAGCCATTTTTCTGGCCCTCTTTCTCTGCGCCCACCCCTGCCCCGAGCCCTTGTTCCGTTCAGCTGGAGTTGGAGCTGAAAGCTACAGATTAATCGAGACCTGAACCGGAACCAACGTTTATTTACCACCTTCCACTCGTAGAAGAGATACGACTAGAAACTAGTCTTTCCTTTTCTTCTTCTCCCCGCCCCGGTCCGGTGTCCTCGGTTTTAAAGCCGATAGGCTGGTTTGAACTTTGCGCGTTCTGCTGGATTTTGAGACGTGGAATGTTTTCCCAACAATGGCCACAAGGCATTTGCAATTTTATGCGTTTATCCATGCTGACGGATCTCTATGGATCCCCCAAAAAAACCCTCTGTCTTTTTATTTATTTTCATTATTTGTTTTAATAATTCGCATCTTATTATTGTATTGGTGTTCCTTATAACCGCATGATCCAAAAAACATTTAGACAACAACCAGATTAATGAATCCATTATTTTGGGGTTGCAACTGATGGAATGGCTACATAAATAACTTTTTCCTAACATGTGTGTTTCAAATGTATTGAAAGGGGATGACCTTAATCGAACAAATCAACTACAAAACAAACGTAGGAGACAACAAAGTAGCATAAGGAAAACTAGAAAGGGGACGAGTAGGAAGTGAGGGCTGTAACTCGTCCTCCTATTGCAGCTTTACCTGCTCAGCACCCCCAACCTGAGCTCCTCACTCCCCCACGACTCTCCATTCTAACAATACAATGGAAGATCTTAAGTGGGAAGAACTGAACCAGAATGAGGATGAAATGAAATAGAAACTGACACCCAATGGAACGACCACAACATCAGCAAGAAAAACTGTGTGTGTGTGTGTGTGTGTGTGTGTGTGTGTGTGTGTGTGTGTGTGTGTGTGTGTGTGTGTGTGTGTGTGTGTGTGTGTGCGTTTTAATAATTGGATTAGATTTTAGCTGGTGTTAAAGGTTTTATGAGCCATGCCTTCCCTTTTGCACCTTCCTCTGTTGCATTCAGTTTCTCATCTGTTTTTTTTTTTTTATCATGCCTTTGCTCCGCCCCTTTAGCCCCCAGGCATTTAGCAGTTACCTGGACGACATCATCAGCTACCGGTGGGAGCTGGAAGAAGGGAAGCCCAACCCACTTCGAGAGGGTCCCTTCGAGGACCTCCCTCCTCGCACTCAGGTGGAACTGCTCCACCGGCTGTGCGACTACCGTCTAGATGCCGCTGATGTCTTCGACCTGCTCAAGGTAAACGTCCACGGGGGACCGGCTCCACGCTGCGCGGACATATCTGCTTCCATGCACGCGCTCTGCTCGCCATTTTACTCAAGAGATTTAGGAAGTACTTATTATTTTATGATAAGTAGTTACTTGCTGTGTAAACCACTTAATTATGACCTGCGCAGCCTGTAAGCGTTGTACTCCATTAACACTATGGTTGGTTAATAAATACACCTGCCACTGCTTTAATTAGTTCAGATATTTCTCTGCAAAAATCTTTTTTACGGATACTATATGTATGAGGCATCAGGGTTTCTGTCCAGGCTTCTTCAACACAAAACAGGTTGGAGAATTAAAAAGCACCACACATTTCCATTCTTTTAATGAGCTCTAGGTTTCTTTTCTGTAAGGATGAAGAAAGACCTGTATATTGATTTACAGTTGAACCTTAATTAGTAATTAGAAGCAATCAAGCTTTTATGAGACACCTAACAAAGCATGTGGGTGCATCTAATAACACCATAGCCACAATACCTCCATCCTGTTTATACTCTCCCTCTAATATATCCTACAGTTTTTTCAGGAGATACATTTTTTTCCAAATAAATAAGCAGATCTATGAATTTACTCTGAAAGATGGTGAAAGTGGCCCATGTCTGTGTATGATTCACGGCCATGTGGGCTCAAAGGACAGGATGACGTCACCTGCTAATGACTAATGATTTAAAATACCAGCCCATGATTTAAGTGCCCCCCTCCACCCCCCCCCCCCCCTCATTAGGGCCTGGATGCAGACAGCCTGAGAGTGGAACCACTGGGGCAGGATGGAAATGGAGCCCTCTACTGGTACTTTTACGGCACTCGCATGTACAAAGAAGAACGAACCAAGAGGAAAGCAGAGAAAATGGGGTAAATATCTCTGCCTCTCTCTAACCCTCATACCCGGTGCACTGAGGACAAATGTTGTGTCACTCGTCATGTTGTCTGTGCTTAACTGGTGCATGTGGTAAGTGTGTAATTGCAGTCGTGGTTTGACCCATTTACAGACCTGTTAAGGGTTAATTATAGAGGTGTCCTAGTGCTTATTACTTGGTTAAAAGGCCATAATTGTAAAGACGTCCTTTCTGCTTTGTGTTGTTTTTCAGTGAAGCCACTGAGCTGACGTTACCAGAGAAAAAGAAAAGGGGAAGACCGCCAAAGAAGATAAAACTGGAAGAGCCTCAGCTGTGGTGAGGCAACAGCGTAAAACTGAGAAATGCCCACATCTGCACGGTTATATCTAAAGAAAAATCAGCATTTAACCATCAAATGTAATCAGCAGTTATTGCTTAAGAAGATGACACATAATCCGGTTTTTATCCGGTTTTCCGGACTTGTTTTAGGATTCCCTTTGAGCTCAGTCAGCTGGTGACTTGCCTGTAGATAATTGCTCGACCTAAAATGTAATTATAATAATATAAGAATAAAACGTATTTCTTGGCGTGTAAACCCTTTGTATTTTAATTGTTTCTGTAGACAAAAACATGCATATCGTGAAGATATAACAGATATACACAGAGCAGTCATATGAAGTCTAACCTCCCCCCCCCCCCGAATTGTCACAGAAACATGTGGCATTTGATTACAATTAATGATTCACTGAAAAGTTTTGCCTGTATTATTCTCCAATGTTTTCTTGTTTTTACCGTTCAGTGAGCTGGAAAACGAAGTGACGACAGAAAATGAGCCGCAAGATCTCCCCCCTAGCACAGGTGAGAGGATCTGAGGGATATAAGCACATTTATTTTGATGTTGACCTCATCCAAGTGTCCGTGGATTTGTGTGTGTGTGTGTTTCTCCTCACGTTTCACTGTGTCAATCGTCACTAGGATCAATAAGTCGACGTCTCTCTCTTTCGCTTCTACCAGGCCGCAAGCGAGGCGCTTGGTCGCTCGTGTGCGACACGGAGGAGCAATGGGTCAGTCTGGTCGAGAGCATCCAGGACAAACCCTCCCCCCAGGACCGCCACCTCCACCGGGTCATCAGCCAGAACTTCTTGCCCGAGATCCGCAGCATGATCGAGCACAAGGTCAGATGCCAAATGTGATGTTGTTGCTATTAGCTCCATTTACGGCAGCACATAGTCATTGGGCTGCGGGTCCAGTTTGTTGGCTTCGGCCACAAGCGATATTAATGATATGTTAGCTCATAAACAGCCAATTCCAACCAGAGCAGATATGCCGGTGTTTTAATTCTCATTTGAACTTAATATTAAACTAATCTTCTCATGAGTTGTATGCCGCATATAAGGGCCACGGTAAGTAAAAAAAAAAAAATCCCTCTGTCATCTGGTTTTTATAACCTCCTTTTCGGATCAATGTTAATTATAGTCCCTACCCGTATGACTTTTTGGCATTGGCAGGAGCAGGACTAATGGAGCTTGAAAGGTTGCGCAGCCTCTCCTCGGTTACTTTCATGTTGCAATAGATCACTGTCCCCCTCAAGGAGTTTCTTTCATGACCCTGGACTCTTTAGCTGGGGCAGCTGCAGGAGAGGTGAAGGGAAGGGAAGCCGGTCTCTGCTTGCCCTGAATTCTGCACACCAGCTTTGGGAAGGAGTTGGCCCTGGGGCAGACTGTGGAGAACTAGTTTTGTAACGAAATCCGTTTTACGGACCGAGCAGCATGTTGGGGACTTATCGTGCTAATTGTCTCTTGTGTTTAATCTGCATACGTGTTTGAAACCATGCCTTTCCACTGAGGCGACTTATTAAAAGACACTTTCATGTTACAAACAACAGGGAAGGAACTGGTTTCTATCACACCTCATCACAGTGTGAAAGAAACCACCGGTGTTACACAGCTGGAGATCCAATCAGAAGGCCCTGCATTGATCTGCAGTTTCTCTTTTTTATTTTTAACCATATGGCATTGCTAGGCAACGGCTTCCTGTGATTCATATACACACAACTGGGACCCTTGTAGAATGTTTACGTTTACGACTGTGACATGGTCCATGAAACGTAGTTAAGTGATAAAAGCAACCAGAACCATTGGATATTGACTCAATTATTGAATACATCAGTTTTTATTTGTGTTAGTGGGTGTGTCTGTGTTTGTGTGAACATTACAGCACGTCAAATACAGAGTGTGTGTGTGTGTGTGTGTGTGTGTGTGTTCTCCACCTGTCTCGGGCTGCTGTCACGGGCCTCTGATAGCAGGCAGGAGCTCACCTTGAGGCAGGACGAAGCCTCGTGAGTGACAGCTCTGCTGCGCTGCAGGATTCTCTCGACCTCTCTGCGTGTCGACACCTGAGGCACTCCATCATTGTCTGTGCGTTGGGTGGAGTAGGGATTTGGCGCCGGGGGAGGTGGGGGTGTGACGTACAGAGGGATTGCGGAGCCCCCGTATATGTTGGGGCTTCACGCTAAGACGAGGCAGAGATGGAGCGGGGACAGAAGAGCTTCAGATGGCACTATAGATAAGATCGTGGACATCGGTCTTATTTCCGTCCTCTCGTGCCGACCGTGTCTCCATTCTTCTTCTACCGCCCCCGCCTGCACACATCTGCAGGCTTCACGCGGCATCGAAAGCATTCTTTAGGCCTCATTACTGTGTTATGAATGACCAGAAGCCTGATTGTGACACCTCTCAGTGCCGTCGGCCGCTGCAGGCCGACAGTTGTTCACAGTCCGTCTTCTCTGATGAACTGTGACGTGAGCTGCAGAAGCCGGTCCCTGATAAAGACGAGCTTTCAAGGGATCCGTTTAGAGCTCTCTGCTGGCTGGTGTTCTCCCCCCCTCTTCCTCCTGTGTGCTATGTCTGGATCCCCAACTGGGATGTGGATTATAGGCAGTATTTTTAAGTTGCGTAGTGAGAAATATAAGATACTGTGCTGTTAAATGGGCTGGACTGGCTATCTGGTTCTATATCACGGCGTAGTGTATTTGTCAACCAGACTAAGCTAGGCTGTCAGCGGGGGAGGGGAGAGCCAGTGACCTCGGTCTCCTCACTGCTCCTCCCCTGGGCCCGGCGTGTGCGTGGCCATCTATCTTGAAGACTCAATCAGTCATTTGCTGATGATACTGTAAATGATATGTATGTATGTATGTGAGACGTAGATGTCACCCGGCAATTTGAAAAGAATATGTTGGAATGTACTTACAAATGTAATTCTTTTAGAAAAATAAATAACAAATTGTTGTCATCTGTTGCCACTTGCATTATGATTTGTGCCTTTAATGGCTATTTCCTTATTTTCCTTATTTCCCCTCAGGAGCGGGAGCAGAAACAGAGGCTACTGGACCCGGCCCCAGTTCGCATATCACAGCGCTTCTCAGGAAAAGACTTTAACCGAGAGCATGAGGTGTGTGCGTGTGTGTGTGCGTGTGCACGTGCACGTGTGTGTGTGTGTGTGTGTGTGTTTTTCTGGCTACATGCTGTTTGGTAGAAGGGCAAACCCCAGGTGTACTACAGCAGAGCTAGACCGATTCAAAGAGGTGTTTTAGTTGCACCTTCTTCGGCTTTGAGTGTTTCCAGTTAGCACATTATTCCTCTTATTGCACGATTAAGACCGATATAGTTACTATCGTGCGTCTATGTGTTCAGGACAATGTGAGGGCCATATCACAGGAGGAGGAAAAGAAGAAAGACGAAGAGCTGGACAGGCAGGTCCTGCTGGCCGAACAACGACGCGAAGAGGAAAGGCTCCATCAGGAGGAGCAGCAGAGAGAGAAGATGGAGAAGATCAAAGCTGTGGAGGGTAAGATGTCTGTAACACAAATGGAACTATGTTGGTTCCCAAGGTACCTTGATTTTCAGATCTGAATCACGTCCCCCGTCTACTGCAGCAAGCTCAATTAGTTATAAGTCAGCTATGGTATGCAGAGGGGTTAAACAATATAAACGGAGCTCAGTGCCAAAAGTCAGTATCAAAGGAGCATCAATAATTTCACATTCTTTCATCAGCGACCTGGAAGCAGCAGGTAGGGGCCTTTCGCACTCTTCTTACGTTCTTGCAAATGGATCAAGGGCAGAATGGATTGTGAAGGGCACCTCACCCGCAGACCTTCACATCTCCACTGCTGTGGTTTGGCTCGTAGCGGTTTAAAGATCTACAGTAGCATAGCGGCGCGCTGAGCCTTCTGATTTATGTAGAATACACAGAGACTGTGAGAGCGAATGCTCAGGGCTTGAATCAGGAGATCAGTCCCGTGCCCCCCCCCCCCCCCTCCACCCCCCAACCCCTCTGATGTCATCTGTCAAGGGTTAGTGATCTGCTGATTGTGCTTCGTTGGAGGAGCCTCATTAATGTATTATAGATGAACAGCAGAAAGGGGCCTGATCTCTGTATGCATTGCAAATGTGGGATCCTCCCTCAAATCTCTTTTAATTTGCACGGCAGGCCTCTCATGTTAAAAGATAAAGCTGCATTCGCACTCTACGCTGCGCTCTTTTGATCTACCGGGCCGGAGAAAAGATGTCTGACGAATGGCTTTCTCCCTACCTATCTAAGCTGGGGCGGTTTCTGATGGCCGAGGCCTGGTTTTCATTGACTCTCCCGACAGCCTCAATCGACAGCAAGAGCAATTGCGACTGTAGTTCAAGAGCCTTTGGAAAAGGAAAAGCAATTAGAATTGGCCTGCAGTCTCCCGAGACTGGTGTGTCTACAGTATTTAGTTTTTATTGGTTGTGCTTCTAATTGCCCCCCTCCCCTGCCATTCTTCTCTCTCAGAGCGAGCCAAGAGGCGGAAGATGCGAGAGGAAAAGGCCTGGTTACTGTCTCAGGGAAAAGACCTGCCACCTGAACTCCTGAATCTGGAGCCTTCTTCTCCCGTCCACAGAACACGCAAGAATAAAGCGTTGTAAGAGGCGTCGTCCACGTCGCGCTCCTCATTTGACTACTTAAAATGACTCGCAGTTGATGTGTTTTTAACCTGTCGCGTGTTTGACATTTCAGCTATGAAATTGATGACGACTACACTACTCTGTACAAAGGTACGCTTCTGAGCAGTTGCTAAAGGCCGCTGCTTCATCTCCACCTGCGTTGATGTTGGTTCTAATGTCCGATCTGATCTCTCCTCTGAAGTGCTCGAGGTTTTGAAAGCCCATAAAGACGCTTGGCCTTTCTTGGAGCCTGTGGATGATTCCTACGCCCCCAATTACCACGAGATCATCCAGGTACTAAATGCAGGAAAAAATGAGAGCCGGCATCTCACAGTAGTTAGTGATATTTTATTTAGGGACGTATTTGTTCTTCCAATCCCCTCAGACACCAATGGACCTGTCCACCATTGAAAAGAAGCTCAATGATGGGGACTACGTCGCCAAGGAGGAGTTTGCCGCCGACGTGAAGCTCATGTTTGAGAACTGCATCGAGTACAATGGAGAGGACAGCGGTAAATACACAAACCAGCTGGACAGTGCGGCTTCCTCCCTCCACACTTTTGCCTCGGTTTGAATGCTAATGAAAATCAATTTCAGTTGGGGGGGGCTGTTGTGTGAAGAAGTGCATATATGATTTTCTTTTTTGGTGGGGGGGGGACTGCCTGGGGGGGGGGGGGAGCCAAAAAAGGGGCGGACTAAGCGTGTGTGGCGCCGGGCCAGGCCAGGCCTGACAGTGATAATGAGAGTGATGAGCTGTGCTCTAGTGCTCAGGGAGATCTGAGCCCTGCAGTGCCAGAGAAACATTCCAGCTCTAAGCCCCCTGTCTGGAGCCATCCATCCAACTCAATACTCTCTCAAGGGACAGGGGGGAGGAGCGTGGTCAGGGGGCCCTGGGTGGAGCAGCAGCAGGAGGAGGAGGGGTCATCCTATGCCCTCTGACCTGGTCAGTTGGCCGGTGCTGGGATGGGAACAGAGGAGCAAGTGTGTTGTCCATGGGTACATGTTCCGTTGTGTTTGGAGTGCAAAGGAGTGACTGAGGGACGGAGTGAGGTGTTTGTAGGATTGTGTGTGCTATGTGATGGTGGGGGGGACTGGCAGCATGCAGAGTGACCATGAGTGGATATGCTACAGGTATGTAGTGTGTGTCTGCGTTTACGAGGCAGCAGAACACAGGGTTGTTTTTTAGCTTTGCATTTTATCATACGAGCATAGCTGATGTTTTTTGGGGGGATTTTCCACAGAGTACACCATCATGGCCGAGTCTCTAGAACGGTGCTTCAGCCGGGCCCTATTGAAACACTTTCCGTCCGAGGACGGCGACACGGACGAGGAGTTCCACATCAGCAGCGAAGACAAGGAGCGCAAGGACAAAAAGCGCAATCGTGGCAGCAGTAAACATTTGGGACCCGAAAGTCTGATCAAAGCCACCGAGCAAGTCCAACGCAAGAGAAACTCCCAAGGGGGCAAGGGCAGCTCCCACCCCGAAGAGAACAACAGACGGACGCGTCCGCCTCCCTCCCTTCACTGGGCCAATGCCCCCCCTCATCTCCAAAGCCAGCAGCACATTCACCGAGGAGACATCAGGGGCATGTACCACCCAGGACAACAGGTATCCACAGGAAGATTTCCTCTATGTTTAAAAAAACACGCCCTGCGCCTAAAACTGTCTAAAATTTTGAAGAAAGATTGAGAATCTCTCGGTTATCTTTCCAGCTTCTTGGTCCGCCCGGTCCTCATGGCCCACACATGTATGGCCAGAGAATGGCCATGGATCCCCGCTTCTCTTATCCAGCGCATATTCCCAGGCATGGCGACCCCAGTTTGAACCGCTTGCCACACAACTTTAACATGCAGGTATGCAAGCCCAATTACACATTTGGTTTTATTGAGGGAACCACCTCATTGTTGATTCTGGCAAAACGTGATTACTAATCAAAATCTCTAACTTGATTTCTTTCTTTCCGCCCCTAGCATCGCATGGTTGAGGGACGGCACATGGGTCCTAGGTATCCAATGGGACCAGATCCTAACCAACACCAGCCGCAGCATCCCTACATGGGTCCAACTCACGGCCCGTCTCTTGGCCCGCGGCCCTTGGGCCTACAACCAGGACCTCCTCCCGAAGCCAGCATGTATCCATCCCACCACCGTCCAGAGGGACACACCATGCACCCCTTGGGAAACAGATTCCTAGGGCCGGAAAGACCTCAGCACAACTACCCTGGCTTGAGGCCTCCCGGAATGGGCCTGTCGAACATGTGGACTGGTATGAATCACCAGGAGAGACCCAACGGGATGGGAATGCAAGATCCCAACATGGTGAACCAGCGCAACTTTAGTCACGGCGGAGTTCCCCCTCCAGTGGGCCATAAACCTTGGCCAGAGGCGGCTGGATACCCCCACCCCTCGCCCAATGCCCAGTATCAAATGTCCGCAGTGGTCTGTTCCCCGGGCCCCATGTCCTCCCGCCCCCCTGTTCCCCACCCAGACTCCTCTAGCAGGACACGCTTGGCTTCTATGCTGCAGAGCCCGGAGATGCTGGCCCTGCAGCAGCTGTCAGCCTCTTCTGGACCCCCTGCTGGTACCCCTCATCAGCACATCGGCAACTTTCAGCCGAATGGGCCCCCGTCAGGAATTGGCAGCATCCCAGCTCACCCCTCTCAGCAGCCTCCCCCTGCCCCTGAGGTTCAGCTGCTGCGTCCCGCTACAGACAATGGGCCAGACAGCCAGCCTTCTCAACAGACAGACATGCGGCCCAAAGGTAGACGCAACCTTCTCTTTCAGTGTTTAACCGGCCATCTATACATAAACCAGTTGCTGACCTTTCTAAAAGAAAGAGTTGCTACAAGAGTGTAGTGTGGTTGCTCTTTGCAATTTGGTTTTTCCTATATTTTCCCTGCAAGGGGCTCATGAATATTCATTGTTTTAGTGGGATTTCTCCCTGGCTGCTTTGAGTGTACAAAAGAAGTGACATGTCTTGGGTTGAGCTTTACGAGTAAGCTTCAAATCTCACTTTTACGTGATAGATCTACTCTTATCTGGTTTTGAGGATTTGATATGATTTTTTTTTTCCATATTTTTTTTTAAAACAACACAAGATGGTATTGCCTTTATTAACTAGTCTTGTAATTTCAATGCTAACCACCCCCACAACTTCCAATGCTAACCTTTCTTGCATTTTGTCGTTTGTCAACAGAATCCACCAACATTTCGGATGAAGCTTCATTACACCAAGAGCCCACTTCCATTCGTAGCCCCACAGAAAGACTCACTGGGCTATCAGAGAGAATGCAGAGCCCCCCAGCTTCTAGCTCGGGCAAATTGGAGGAGAATCCGTCTGGACCGAGGCTCTCAACAGCGAGCCACAAGCCTGAGGTAGATGGCCAGAGACACTCTGCCAGCCACTGTCCAACTGAACACATGAGGGCCACGAGTGTTTTGTCCTATCTCAACTCCAGTAACAACAGCGCCACTGACCACGCCCACCCCAACCACCCGCAGCCAATGCATGACAGCCCACGGCAAAAAGCTCGAAGCCCCGCCCTTCTTCACCAGAACTTGCCGCCGCTGCGTTCCCCTCAGCGAATGTTGGAGAGCAACCCGTCACACGTACAGGATGCACACCGGCAAAGTGAGCAGCAGCGACCTCAGGCGAGCCAGAGCATGCCGCCCCAATGCCCCCCTCAGAGCTCTCCCCAGCCGGTAAGCTCTCTCCTTCTCCCTCATCGCGTCCCCCAAAACACCTCTCCACGCCCTACACAGAGCAGTCCCATGCACGGGATGCCACAGAGTGCCGCACAAGGAGCCCAGCCTGGACCCCCTCATCCAGTTCCCCTCACCTCGCTGCCACCCAGCCGTCCCACCCCTCTGCTACCGTCCCAGCCGAGCCCAGCCGACCATGGGAATCAAAGACCCAGCGAGCCTACGAGCAGAACGGACACAGACGGCAACGCCGAGCCCGCCGCTGCACATGATGAAATCTGGGCCTCCGAATGGCGTTCCCAAACAACAGGCTTTAAGCCCCAATCCCCATCAAACCAAGGTGTTGGGCGGTCACCCAGGTATGCAGGCTCAGGGAGGGCCAGCGGCCGTTCACAATCCAGCCATGCCTCCTCACACCCAAGGCCAGGTACATGGAGCCATGGGTCCGTATGCCATGGGGAACAATCTACATCCACACTACAGCCAAACAAACATGACCCGGCCCATGCCTCAGTCTGCTCACCACCCGTATCACAACCAGGCCATCAACAGCCTCCACGGTTACCGCCAGCAGGGAGGGACCGCCTACCCGTACCACGCACCAGGCCAACAGCACCCTCAGGCCCACCCCAACGTGTACCCGAGTCATCAGTACCAGCAACAGCACTACTTCCCGCAACCCCACTCCCAAGCTCCGATCCACAACCAGGCCAACGGCAGAGGAGGTTACCCTCCGGAGGAGTGGCACCGGCCTCACTATCAGCCTCAGCAACCCATGTCGCCCAACGGCTACCTACCTGCAGCCGGCGCCAGAGGCAACGGGCAGCTGAAGGAGAGCAGTGTGTCGCCGCTGGGCTCCGAGGGCTCCGGCTTGATGTCCCCCGGCCCCGTGCCCGAAGTAGCGCCACGCCCCGTCGGCCTGGAGGAGAGGAAGTGCGAAAGCAGCGATGGCGGCAGCCCCGCCAAGCGGGCCCACGAGGAGAGCTCAGAGCGGCCCGAGAGCCCGAAGGAAATCCTGGACCTGGACAGCCACAACGCCGCGGCCCGCCGCCGCAGCACCCAGCAGCACATGGTGTCCGGCTTCATGTTCGACCCTGGTACCGTGCACCCCGGGATGCAGCGCGGCGGCGTTCCTCCGCCCCACATGATGTTTCCGACCCGTGGAAACGCCGACGGAGTTCCCTACCATGGCCGGCCGTACCCGGATCCGGGACGCTACGCCGCCCAAAGACCACACCCGCATCTGATGGAGGCGCTGCAGCGGCCCCAGCAGCTGCCTTACTCGCCGGGTCAGACGCGCATGGTCATGTACAGACACCCTCGGCCCACGGGGAACTTCCATGGCATGATGATTCAGCAGAGAGGCATGGCACCAGAACACTTCCTACACCCTGGGTAAACGGATTCATTCAGTCTGTTACTAAGAGCTTGGAGTCTTGTATTACAGTTGACTCTGTGGTCTGTAAATGTTTATTAGTTTTTGTTTCAATGTGAGGGGACTTGTGACATTAGAGCCGCAGAGCCGCAGTAACCTCGGTAAAAAGTAGGGTTTGAACGTATTTTAACTTAAAAAGGAAGTTGGTTAGTACAAAACAAGCCTTTGGCCTCAAGGAAAGGTTTGCCCCACTTTTTATGTGGATATCCAATAGTAAATTAGATTACTACGTGGTCATAAATGATCATTTTAGTGGAGAATTAAATTCCAGATTAAGTCTCCTCTATTAACCACAAAGCTACTCTTGCTTATATTGAAAAAAACAAAAGGCTGTGACACGGATTCACTCAAGTAATATAGTAAACTGTATTTAAATGCCGTTCACATCGAGGTGTAATTGTACCATGTCTCTCCCTGGACAATAAACAAAATCACTGCCCAATAAAAGCCCAAATACTGTCAAATCTACACTGTAAAATATCCTTGTCCAAAACATCCACTGCCCTTGTGTTATGGATGCTATTTTGTCTGAAACCAAAGCAACACAGACGTTTCTTGAGCGTCGTTATACCACACTGTAGTTCTTCCTGGTAGCCAGTATGCTGGCATACAGAAGATGCGGATTGAGTTGCTTTTGGAGCGGGCATCAAATGGCTGTTTGGCACCGCCGTTAAGCTGAGTTTGACATTTTCTGCGTCTTAAAAGCCCGTGACCTGCAGTTATTGTGTGGTTGGTTGGTTGTGTCCTCCTTTCATTTCCCTACAGCCTGTACTCTGTTGACGTGATGTTATTATAAGTCAATAGACGGGAGCTGAATCAACAATTTTGATGGCCTATAAATGATATCAGACCAGTAGCAGTAAAACAACCTTTATTTTTACCCGAGTGGCAACTGGACTTCTTCAGTAGCGGCAGTAATGTTGACAACCTTTTCTTGTTCCCGTGGTCCCAGGCAGCAGATGATGGCGGCTCCAGGCGGCCCGATCAGTAAACAAGGAGTGTGACAAGAACTGTTTTCGGAGTGAGTAAAAATAACGTTTGACACACCACAATTCTCGCAATATCATCTTTCCGCCAACGTTTTCGCGACAGTGCCTATGGGGGTGTTTTTTCCCAAGAACATAAACATTCTGCCATAAGGCATCGATGCAGTTCCAAAGGGACCGGAGGACAGATATGAAATCATGGTGCCGTCAGGCTGTGTCCTTAATGTGTGAGAGGTTTTTCTAATTGTCGTTGTCCTTTTCAGGTATGTTCTTATCAAACCGGAGGAAGTACTGAGCCAAGAGGAATAATACGTGGGTACGCGGACTGAAACCGTAGAATGGACCCTTTGCTCCATGTACATTTCTTAAGGATTTTCTTACACTGGACTGACCTCTGAGCGATCGGAGATATGAGTAATGGATTAAAGGACACTGAACACAGCCTGCCTATGTTGTCCTTGTGACTGTCCCTAGTTGATGGAGCCGTTGATCTACTGAGCGAACTGAGCAGGGCTGTTATGAAGATGAGAGGGACTGCTGTTGATTTCTTTTTTTAATTTTATATGCTGTTATTTTCTGTTCCAACCCTACTTTTAAACTCAGGTGTAGAAACGGAGGTACTAATAGACTGTCACCCTCCCCCAGTCAAAATCACAGGCCCCTTGTAATTGCCTTGATTACCTTTTTGTGAATGTATGAGCGAATGTGTAGACAATACGGTGTGTGCATCAGATTATCTGCGTGTGAAGGTTCACAAACACTGATCATTTGTCCAAAGCAGAACCGTCCTGAAGAAAGCCCAGTTACTGTCCACTTTCACCCCAATGCGCATTTGTTCTTCTAGTTCCAGAGTAACTATGTGCACCTTTCATAGCTGCCTTCATTGTCAAGAATGTCTTGGACTAGGAGAGCGGGACTGGCAGAAATAGTGCGATTCATATCCAGACTCGACATAAACTCTCTGGGATGCACTGTGGATTTTAGTCTGCGGATCTCGTGGCCTTTGGTAGACTTATTTCTAGTCCTACACATATTGTATGCATGAACATATATCCTTTATCTCCTGTCCCGGACAGGGCGAAATTCTAAAATGACATAGTCTGCTATCTGATAAATGCAGAACAAACGCCCTAAAATCCTGCGCTTGGTTTTTTTATTGTGACTATTAACACATAAAAGTGTGTACTTTCTTTTTTTCATTCGCGGCTCATCCCTCTGCGTGGTTGATTCTCTGAGTGCTTCCTCTTCCCCATGTTGATACTAAACAGGTCCTCAGGGTGTACAGTTTCTATATACGGGTATTTTTCTGCATTATTTGAAGGAGGAGCAGCATAAAGAATAAGGGACTGAAACTGGCAAACGGATCCACCTCACCACCAACACCTGTCTTTGTTTTTTGTCAAGTGAGATGAATCAAATATGGGTTATTCCACATTCCTGTTGATTGGATGTCTTTTGAGTTTTTTTAAATCACAATTCATTTAGGAATAGGACACATTTTTAAAGGGCTACCAATGCATTTTCTAATGAATTGAAAATGTCCGTCGACGCTCCGCCCTGCACCTTCACCTCGTCGTATCCACGTTGCGTCTGTGAAACCCCACCTGTGCAGTTTAGTGATGACAGTAAATTAATCTACCTCATTGGCATCAACTGAGTCTCTGAAACTTCTTTCTCCTGCTCTGCGGGTCAACACGTTGTGACCAGCTGATGATTTTTAGCACAACTATAATTGTGCAGTCTTTCAGAACTGAAATGAATGAAATGGCCTTACGACCCGCGTTGGTCACAGGTTGCCGTGTCGGACGTCTGTGCCGACCGGCAGACGTTTCTGTAAATGAATCGGTCATTGAATCATTTTAACGGGACGGCACTTTCAGCATTTTCTTTTTTTAAATGAAGTGTTGAGGGCAATACAACGCTGCATGTCCGGAGCAGGAGTCTGTAAATTGGTCTCGAGCTGCGTTCCAGTCTCTGGTCTCTTAATAGACCGCACAGAGACGTGCCGTCATAATGGGTTTACGATGTTCTTCAGTAGTAGGTACCTAAGGCGTTGCGGGGGAAATCTTTCAGGATGGTGGAATAAGAAAGTGCTAGAAGCTGTGAGCAAAATGTTCTAAATGTGTCGCACGAGACTATTTAGTGGAAATAGGAAGTGGTTTCAAGTTGTGCCCAATAGGTCACTTTTCAGGTAGTGTGTTCACTCGCGCTGTCGTGTGTGTGTGTGTGTGTGTGTGTGTGTGTGTGTGTGTGTGTGTGTGTGTGTGTGTGTGTGTGTGTGTGTGTGTGTGTGTGTGTGTGTGTGTGTGTGTGTGTGTGTGTGTGTGTGTGTGTGTGTGTGTGTGTGTGTGTGGAATTGGCACCAGATGATCGGAAGTGTGCGTTCATCTCTCACTTTTACTCTGCTGTCCTCTCTGCGCTAGTGAAAACCATATAGAGGTGAATTAAATGTGAAACATATATATTTTCCTTCTTAAGCATCTTTGTACATTTGATGACTTGTTTTAATATAAATGTGATGTACGTTTGTTCTTTTTTTTTTTTTTTTTTTTCAAGCAGTTTTCTTTTACCTCAGTAGCATGGTGGCGTTTAAATAAGAACTACGTTTAATTTTCAGTGACGTTTACAAGTTCTTATCTGACTGACATAGATTATTTTGGAAATGGAACAGAGTATTTTCTATACTGTACATTTCTTAGAAATAAATTACTTTTCTCCAACAAGAGTGCCTTTGATCAATTAAAAAATGGTTAGTCTTTGTGTCACAACACTAACAGTATAACAAGGGTTATTGCTGCTGTGAAAGAAATATAATATATCTATCGAATATCTTGGCCTTCCATAGCCATGAGGCATACATCTATTATCCGTCAAAGAAACAAAGGCCAAAAGTAATTAAATGCCAACAGACAAAACAAGAGGGCCAATCCCAGACAATGCATCAATCTATTGGTGCTCCTCACGCCATGCCCTTCGATTAGGGCTTTCCCTCTTGATGAAGACCCTCCACTGGTTGTACGCGGCTTTGTTTGACCCTTCTCATATCTGCTGTGACGTCTGGAGGAGGCCGCACGGCTCCTCGGCCCGGCCTTCCAGGGATGCTTGTAGGCAAGCAAGTTTATTTGTATAGCGCTTTTTCATACACAAGGGCAGACTCAAAGTGCTTCACGTCATAACATTTCATACAATAAAGTGAAATAAAATGCAGGAATTAAAAGACAATTAAAAATAAATTAAAATCTTATTTAAATTGTTTAAAGGCAGAGGTTAAAAGTGCAATGTAGGTCAAATTTAGCTGAAGGCGAAGCTAAACATAAGTTTTCAGTCTTGTTTTAAACGTGGTCAGAGTTGCGGCAAGTCTTAAATCTTCAGGAAGTTTATTCCAGCTGTTTGTTGCGTAGTAACTAAATGATGCTTTCCCATGATTTGTATTTACTCTGGGAATCACTAACAGATTGGTGTCAGAAGATCTGAAGGCTTATGTAGTGGAAGCATATCAGTGATATACTTTGGCCCTAAACCATGTAGTGATTTATATGTGAGCAGTAGGATTTTGAAATTAATTCTCTGACATACTGGGAGCCAATGTAAGGATTTAAGAATCGGTGTAATGTGCTCACATTTTTTGGTCTTTGTTAGAACAAACAAGTATATTACTCTGTTCAAGCCTAATGAGGACAAACTTGGCGCAAGAAAATAATTGAGGCATATAATTAAGATACTTGTTAAACAGGTTGTTTATCTACGTTATGACAGTGACGAAAACATAACAATATATTAAGTTAACAATGGAGAAATGGTCTGACTAACAGGTGGGAGGGTTGTCTTTCTCCTCCTAGCTCTTAAAAAAATGTTTATTTTACACAGGTATTAGAATGCTTTCAGTGAAACAGAAGCAAACTAAAGACTTACTTATGGTGCATTTCCAATACAACTTGTCATTGAAAATAGTTGTCGACAGAAGTGTGCAATCGAGTATCTTTGCGCATTGTGTATCCAACCTTTTGAGATGCTCATTCCTTCTACTAAATAAATCTGTTAGAATTGAAACAGAAAGCGGTACACTGAATTCAATGAACTCATCTGAGGTATCACGATCTCATGTAACAGCTCATCCCTGTATGTGAAAATGTGTTTTTGAATTACAGGGACTGGATCGAGAAGCGAGTCCCGACACGTCATGCTTTGTTTGTTCGTCGTGTTCACCGTGTATCTTTAGCTTGTTGGTAAATTACGTACGTCATATAAGAGAAATTATTTCCTATAAAAGGGTGATACCTAGAAAAACTAAAAAAACAAGCTACAAAGCAGATCTCGAAGTCCCCGTCCCCACTACAGCGCCCCACGTTCCACCAATCAAATGATTATCAGGGTCCAATCTCAGCCAATCATATCGGGGCGGAGGCGGGACTTCAGGTCTTGAACCCCTCAAACAAGAGAAAGAAAAACACACAATCAATCTCGGAATTGTCGGACAAAGACTTCTCGTTTGCTTGCTTTTTTTTTTCTTTCGTGACCCTGCGCTAATAAAGTAAGCTATTCTACTACACACACATACACACAAACGTATTCCGAGCTGTCACCGTGTAACCGACGTACTCGTTCTGTTTATGGCTCCAGCCTGTTTACTTGAATCGTCGCCAGCTGTCAGCTAACGTTAAGCTGCTAAAGCACCAGCTATCCTTTAAATGGCGATGTTTCACCATAATAAGATTAAGTTGGCATTCTTGTTGTGTCTCTTTCCAGCCTAGCCCAAATGTCTCCTTCTCAAATAAACGCAGGTAACCAAGTCTAAGATGTAACTTTATGTCAGCAAACGCCGGCTCTCATTTCCTCTTTATTTCCGCTGATGGTTCTCGTTTCTTTTTCTTTTTTTATTCAGCTGGTCACCAGCTGGTACAAAAAAAAAAACGGAACCAGCTTTTCCCGACTAACCGTGTTCATGTCTTCTCTCCGAAAAAAAACAAACAGGCCCCGGCGGCATGGTGGCAGTGTCGCTGCTGCGCCCCCCGGCGGCGGCCGCTGCCTGGCTGCTCCTGTGCTGCCTTGGCGGCGGGATGGCCGCGCCGGACCCCCGCCAGAGAGACGACCTCATACGGCGGGAGGCCTCCAAGCAGACCGGCGGCCGGCTGCCGCTGACGGCCGCCGAGCAGCGGCTGGACGCCGCCTTGTTGAAGATGAAGCAGAACGAGACGTGGAGGGCGGACTTTCCTCCCGCCATGCACTTCTTCAGGGCCAGGCCCCTCATCAGGACCAGTCCCATCTTCCACCTGCTGCAGAAGATGCCCAAAGGTGTGTCCAGTTTGCCGTGTGCATAGCTTTTTATAATGAACTCCGAAAAAACGATAAGCCTTATTTTTGACACACCATGTAAAATGATGACCTGGTTATAATGTTAATCTGTGTAAACATTAGGAATCGGTCAATTCCACTTCCAGAAGTGCCAATTTATTGATACATTAACAGAAGTAAAGAGGCTAAAATGATAATTGATGAATCCCTAAATGAATCCCTATAGCTTCTCGGTGGGTAAACTGAATCATTTTAGTTAATGGACAGAACAAGACATTTGAAGACAATTCTCCATTATTTAAATTTTAAACCAATTGTTTTTTTCATCACAATCATGTTTGGCACTAAGAAAAAAAGCTACGAGCCACTCTGATTTTGTTTCCATGGAGACAATCAGTGATACAAGTGGTCTCAAAACTTGCTGGATAATCACAAAATGTCTGATGTTTGCGGGCAGGGAATATCTACGAGTGGTCAATCAAAACCAAGCAGACTTGTACGTGGAGACCAGGCTGTTCATAGTCGTGTAATTTGCCGTTTCAGGGGGAGCTCTCCACGTCCACGACTTCTCCATGGTAGACGTGGAGTGGCTGGTGAAGAACGCCACCTATCGCCCCCACTGCTACATGTGCCTCACTGACAAGCGCTCCATCAGGTTCGTCTTCTCGTCCCGATGGCCCAAAGCTCTGCCGCGCTGCTCTCCCTGGACCCTCCTGGAAAACCTCAGGGCCAAGATGGTCAATACCACGGATTTTGACGACAGGTGGGTTTTCTCCTGGGTGAGCTTCACATAGTTCTAAACATATATGACCTTCCTGATGACTATAGGCTCTCTTTAAAAAATGTTCTTTTCCGTGTGTTATGCAAACTTATTTGCATCTTTTACCATGAAATGTGCCAATGTGCTCTCGTCCACACGTTGACGTCAAATGTCTCGTTGTGTCAAGTGACGTGTCCGGTATTTAATGAGAGATATCAGGGCTTGTCTTTCGTGGAAGACCTTCACGGCCACTGAAGCCCGCCTATCATCGCTCCCTTTTTGTTGCATCTGTTGTAGCATCAATATTATAACCCTAACCCTACCTGAAACCCTCATGGAAAACAGAGAGTATCTGATGAGCCCATAAACACATGAGTCCAAGCAGACTATAGTGTATATACTAATCTCGTTTTAGAAAGGACTCGTTGGTGTGGCAGTTTGAAGCAGCTAACTTACAACATACAATTACTCAGGTGAGATATATTTCCTGTTTGGAACAAGATGCAAGGATGGGATATAAAAAGCAGGAGTCTTCAAATATTAAGGAAAGAGATGGGCGATTAGTTCTGAAGGTTATGTTTCATTACTTTACTGGTTTCTGCATTTTGGTCGAACACAAGAAAGCAGCTCTGCCAATGCGTTGTGTTTGTTTTAAAAACAGACCAACAGTCTTTTCCACGTAGCTCCCAGGTTTCTACACGGAAATGTGATGGAAACAAAACGCCACCAAATGATCACGTGTCCTCCCGTCCACAGCATCATGGGCAACATGACGCTGTTCAGCGATCAGGACCCGGAGGTGCTGTACCCCTCGCAGGACGTGGTGTGGGAACGGTTTGAGCAGGCCTTCGCCGCCTTGTGGGGCCTGGTCACCTACGCTCCTGTGTTCAGAGACTATTACTACCAAGGCCTCACCCAGTTCTACACGGACAACGTTATGTACCTGGAACTGCGAGCTTTGCTCCCGCAGGTACTCCAAAGCCCCGCCGCAGTCACTCGTCTGCGGAACCTATCACAGGCGGTAAACAAGTGTTGTTTTTTTGTTTGCTTTTGTCACCCAGACGTACGAGTTGGACGGCAGCACTCACGACACAGCCTGGACTCTGAAGACCTACCAGGAGGTCACCAAGCAGTTCACGGAGGACCACCCGGGCTTCTTCGGAGCGAGGATCATCTTCACCATCCAAAGGTGACCACCTTTACAATAGGTGCGTCCGAATGAGGACGTTGAAGTAATCATTGGTCGCCCACTGTGCTGATACCAGGCGGGTGAATGCGTCAGTGATGGCCAGCACCGTGGAGGAGGCCATGAAGCTGCAGAGCGACTTCCCAGAAGTCATGGCGGGCTTTGATATGGTGAGCATGCGTTTGTGTGGACAGATTTTTTTACTGTTTTAAATGTGTGAAAGGAAGCTTTACTTTACTAGCGTGTGTTTGGGTGCAGGTGGGCCGCGAGGACAAAGGCCGACCCCTGTGGTACTTCAGAGACGCCTTGTCACTGCCAGCAGAGAGAGGGGTGACGCTTCCTTTCTTCTTCCATGCCGGAGAGACCGGTGAGCTCATATATACATATATTAATATATATGCACATGCATACCTGTATTAAGATTCACTGTGGTACCTGTTGGCACGCGTCATATGGATGTCTCACTAATGTATGGTCATGAAGTCACAGGAATGTTGTATTAAACATGGAGAGACTTTAGCAGACAAGGCAAACGTGATCTAATGCAAACTGTATCGTAAATATACATATGTTCAACATCTCGCGTCATCTTTTTTGTGATATTTCAAATTGTTGCACAGCCAAAGAAATTCAATCACGATGAAACCGTCACCATGAGTGGAAATCAGAGGGTGTTCACAAGCATCACATCATGTACAGAAAAACCTCCCAAAATAGCATGCATGTTGAACTCCTCTCTACTAAATATAGATCTCGAGGGCACAGAAGTGGACCAGAACTTGCTGGACGCTCTTTTGTTTAACACTTCCCGTATTGGCCATGGATTTGCTCTGGGGCGACACCCACTGGCCAAGGAGCTGTCCAGAAAGAGGGGGGTGGCTGTGGAAGTGTGTCCCATCTCCAACCAGGTACCACTATCCTCCTGTAGACCACAGCGTGGTTACTCAAGATACTGACTACGACGTAAACACGTGAATTACTATGAGCCTTTCACCCCCTCGTTCAGGTGCTGAAGCTGGTCAATGACATGCGAAACCACCCGGCAGCTGCGCTGATGTCAGAAAACCACCCGCTGGTCATCAGTTCTGACGACCCCGCCATGTTCGGCGCCTCCGGACTCTCTTACGACTTCTACGAAGCGTTTGTGGGCTTCGGTGGGGTGAGATCAAACTTGGGCACCCTCAAAAAGCTAGCTATGAACTCTATCAGGTGAGCTCGAGACGAGAAAACAAAAGGGGATTTAAACATAACAGATGGTTTGTGAGCTCACTGACGTCTGTCTGTCCGTCTTTCAGGTACAGTTCTCTGAATGCAAAGCTACAGGACAAAGCGCTGGCTGGGTGGAAAGAAAGATGGGATAAGTTTGTCTCGGAAAATTCTTTTTAGAAATAAAACATCTGAGCGGCTATCTTCGAATGCCTTTATGCTTTTTTTTTTTTTGAGAAACCTTAAAAGCACAAGTGCATTTTCAATGATAATAAGCCAAATGTGGAAAACTGCTCCACAGGATGGCAGGTTTGTCGACAAAGCTGGTCTGGGGGAAAAGCACTGGGATGAATGAGGAAAAAGGGATTCTTGATTTTGGATTTTTGATGATCACAGGGGATTTTGCCACATACAATTTAAGGGGAATTACTTGAACGACATATGAGCAGTTGTATTACAGGTGGAACGCATTGGGAAAATCTGAATTTTTTTTTTTTTGTCAAACGTTATTTAGATCTTGCTCTTGCAAAACAGGTTAATTACGGCCACAAATAACTATTTTCTACCAAATATTTGTTATTCTTTGCACAGATAGAACATTATTTGCGTTGTACTAACAAGATGCTTGTACATTTCATTTGTTGTGTCTGATGGAACAATTTTGTTTACTTGAACATTATTTTGTTTATTCAATTATTTGAAAAAGCACAGAATGTACAATTCTGTTGAGGCGGTGGAGCAAGGACATTTTTCTTCCAAAGTGGGTCGTGAAAGAAAGTTTGAGAACCACTATTTTAAACCAGAATATCGTTTTCACCTAATTTCCTTTACATGTACACTACCACTACTTCAATTAAATGACAAAGTGTGTCCTAACTGTATGTAACGTAATTCATTCATTTTTAGCTGGTGTGGATATATGGATGTGATTTATGTCAAAGAAAGTGTTTTATGTATTTAGGCTGTATTTTGTGTCCAAACAACTGACTGAAATACATCTAGATGATGTTCACAATGTCTTAAACTTCTGAAATAATACATTTGACACGATCTAAAAAACAACTGCGGATGTACGGCCACTTTATTCCATGTGGTTTGCACCATTATCAATACTCAGCCATCCATCATCTGCTGCAGGTGTTGAATTGGGAGAAGAAGCTGTCGTCAATGGATCCTCTTTTCATGTCCGGGTTCCTAAAACCAACAGCAGTTCACACACACACTGAGTGAGACACAGTTTTTGTCGCTTAAATCCACCGTGCGCGTATACGAGTGAATAACCGACTGTTGTCTGCGCGTTTCCGCCAGCCGGACATTGGTGCTGTCCAGCTGTCGTCTCAGCTGCTTGTTCAGTTTGGTTTGCCGCCTCTCCAGTAACAGAGCCGCACGGCCCGAGTCCAAACGCACACGGTCGTGCTGCTCCTCCTCTCGCTTTTCTCTTTCCACGGCCGTCTGCAAGACGCACACACCACCAGCGAGCAGTTGTTTAAATGATGAGAAAGATTACGTTTTCCTCCTTTTTTAAATTTTTTTTTTTTTTTTACCCTTTTCTCCTCTATCTGATATTTCTGGAACTGGATGGTCTCCAGCAGGCTCTGCGGAGGTGCTCTCTTATCACCGCTAGAACCCCAAACAGGCACCGGCACTCTGCCCTCGGGGGGTTCGGCGCCTCCACCTGTCAGATCTCCTCGCAGATGGTTCGCGGTACCCACGTCATCATGTTGTCCCTGCTTGCAGCACTTGTCTTCAATCTTAAAAAGGTGAGAATTGTAAATGCTGCACCTCCTGCTGGTAAATACATCAGTATCCCTTTTTCCTCTTGTTTTCAAAAACAACAGAAGAAAGGAACCTTAAGGAAACGGACTCGTTTACATTACAGATTGAATGGATTCAATTCCATTTCAATTTAACATCTCAAACTTTTAAATTGAATACACACATTTTAAAAAGACCACAACACATGGCATATAAACAGCTATCATCAAAAACGGGTACAGCCAAAGTCCACCAAACATTTCTTAAGAGGACTCTCCTTTGAATGCTCTAATAAAATGCAATTTAAATATACTATACACACATGGACAAAACTGCTGGTACACTTCTGTTAAAAAACAAAACAGTATTCACTGCAATAACTTAAAACTGTAATCGTAAAATGAAAATACAACATTGCTTTTGAAATGTGGTTCAAGAGAATCATTAAAAAAAATAAACTGCGTGGACTAAAACGATGGTGCCCCTAGAAAAGATTGAAAATAGGGACGTGTGTCCTCTAATTAGCATCACAGGTGTCTTCAGCAATGCCTCGGCCTATTTAAAGGATGGAAAAAAAGTCACGTGCTGTTTGTTCTTCCGGTGTGAACCCAACGTGGACCACAGAAAGCAGAAGTGCACTAAATTTTGTCCAAGTGTGTAGATTCCAGAGTTTGTTCCCAATCTATCTGTTACCTCAAGCGTTTGTTACTTAAATGAGTTTTTTCTTACCATGGCCCGGTTGTACTCCGTAGTGGCAACGAGTGCTGCTTTTCTCCGCTCCATCTCGATGCTTTGGAGCTGCAGAGCTTTGTTGTCCATGTCTTCTCTGCCTTGGCCATAGTGGCGCTCTGAAGAACAGTGGAGGCGGCGAGGGTGATGTGAGGTGGCGTCTGGCGTGTGTGACTGAGAACCGAGTATCAGTGACCCGGGTGGGACCAGGCGAACCTACCGTCCAGTTTCTGTTGATGCCTCTCCGCCGTTCGCTCCCTCTGCTGCTGAAGGAGCCACTCTCTGAGCTGCTCCTTCTGCCTGCTTCGCCTGCTCCCACCGTCGGGCTCCTCGCCCACCAGGCCGGGGAGCATCATCTGGGCATCCTCCGGGTCAAAACCCCGCTGGCGCAGAGGCTGCTGGTACTGCCGTCGGTAGTCGACAATGGCCTTCTCCATCGCGCGCCTCTCCTTTAGCTCTCTGCCGTGGAGGAGGGCCGCCACCTTCCTGTGATGGAGCAGAGCAGCATCTGCAAGGAGTGCACATGCAAGGTGTCCAGGGTTATTAGAAATGATGCATGTTATTGAGTGTGCAGAAGTATCAACATAGTGTGAATAATGTTTGTATGTTTTATGATCAGACATTCTTTTATCCATATATTCTTTTCTTTTTTTACCTATTTACCAAAATCATTGTAGATCGTTTAGGTAACATTACTCACCACCAGCGTGTTTCTCCTGTTTTGCTGCATCTTGTCGTTTCTCTTTCTCTTTCATCTGGTCGTTTAAGGCTTCCTTGTCAACCTGTGAAACAGACCGAGGCGATGAGTCACGTTACGCGATAGCGTCGTTGTCAGTTAGCGTCCCTCTGCCATCGTCGTTCTTACCCCGATCGTCCGCACTTTGTCGTTAAAAATCCTCTCCCGTCTTTCGGTCTCTCTGTCGCGACGCGTTTGCAGATTCATCCTCGCGACGCGGTCCGCGGCCGATTCGACGTTAAACATCGCGACCGGAAAACGGTTTTCGAAACGGATCCCCCGTAAGACGCCTCAAACTACGCTACTTCTTGTTTACACTCTGGTTGCTAAGAAACCAAAAGGTCGCGAGCTCTCGTGAGACTTGGTATTTATTCCGTTAATAAAAATTTTTTAAAAGCCTCAGCTTGAGCAGAGGAATGGTCAAATAATCACACATGATTCTTCTTTCTTTCAAATTGGATTATCAAAGCATTGTGACCTGTCACTTATGCATAAATTGAAATTAGGCAATTAAGCGGTTTGACATCCATCCATTGTCAAAACCGCTTATCCTGCACACAGGGTCGCGGGGGAGCTGGAGTCCATCCCAGCCAACTTCGGGCGATAGACAGGGTACATCCTGGACTGGTCGCCAGCCAATCGCAGGGCTACACAGAGACACACAACCATTCACACTCACACATCTACGGGCAATTTAAAGTCCCCAATTAACCTGATCCCCAGAGCATGTCTTTGGACTGTGTGAACATGCAGACTCCACACAGAAAGGCCACTGGGCGGAATCGAACCCAGGACCTTCTTGCTGTGAGGCAACAGTGCAAACCACCACGCCACCGTGCCGCCCAAATTAGGCAATATTGCAAAGATCATTGACATAATGTTGCATCCTGAACTATCCTAATGTAGAGAGACAAATTATTATTTTTTTATTACTATTTTCAGAGAAATGTGCTTTAATGAAGTTTCTTCCTAATTATGTGACCAAAATATTTGTCACAGCCAAAAGTAATGAAATTGATCAATATATTGATTGAGCCCATAGGCAAAAGATTATAGTAAAATAGAATAGTTTGACAGTACAGTATGTCATAAAAACACCTTTTAAAAAAGGTCACGGAATAATATGCCGTAGATATGTCATAAAGTTACAGCATGATATCTGAATATAAAATATAAAACAATCATACATTATTTTAACAAAGGCATTCTTTGAGTTTCATTTTCATAATGTTTTTCCACTGTATTGAGCAGTTTCTGAGCAGAGCATCGACACCATAAGGAGACGCTGAGTAAACGCGTTCTCCATCTCTACCAGTAGATGACAGTATACGTGTATTTAAACCATCGATTTGATTACATTTTCTTGTGTCTGTTTATCTCTGTTAATGAGACGGATGCATGCAGTGCTGTTGGTTTCATGTGATGTTTAGCCTTAGGCAACCATAGTTGTATACATCACTGTTCATTTCATTTAGGAACAAACACACCTCCAAAGAAGAGGGAGTACTGGTTGAACGCAATGCAATACCTTATGACAATTAGAAAACTGAGACTTTTGGCTTATTCCTATTAAACATAAAGCATAATTAACCAACAACATTATTGTATTTGTCACACTTCAATCCTGAATTGATTAGTTAAACCGAAGCGGTCCAAGGTTAGAATAAATGTCAGATGATTCAAGAAGACCTATTTTCTAATCTTTTCTACTTGTGAATAGGTCAAAAATATAATGTATGAATGTTTGGAACAGTTAATACTGTTTTCACTTGTGTACCAATACAGTTAACTGTTTTCTAGTTCCTAGCTAAGCAAAGAGAGAGTCTTTATTATCTAAGTTAAAAGCCTCGCAAAAGCAGAAACCTTTATTAGTGGCGGCTCTGGACTTCTTGCATTTCCACATGATTTCCATCACCCCAACTTTGGCTTCCAAGAGCTGTTCCAAAACTCAGCAATCTGCTCTCCAAAGACCCGTCTTTAACCGTGGGTAAAGAGGACAAAGTCCATCTTCAGTTTTAGGAGACACAATTATCTTTTATAAACTGTCAGACGTCACAAAGACTTTTGTATCCACCAGATACAAGACTATTGTATCCGAGACTATTTTTTAGATGAAAGATTAAAGAAGTACTTGAAACCGAGTCAAACTGTGGTAATGCTGAGTAGAGCCTTAAAACACACGCAACACTTAAGCATACTTTTTAACGCCTAAGTGACAAATATGATATGATGAAATCGCACTTGTTTCTTGCTCTTCTGAGTTTGTATCCTTATGGTTAAATGCATTTATTGTAAGTCGCTTTGGATAAAAGCGTCAGCTAAATGACATGTTATATAAAATATGAACCAGCACTTTTGTAACCTACAGGCTTATAGTGCTATTTTAAAGTTGAATTTACTTAATATTGTAATGTTTCATGCTCATCATTAATTGTCAATGTCTTTAACACATTTGATTTCATTATTTCTAAAGAACTCAGGTCTGATATCAATAAATGATTTACAAATAATGTCATGTATATTAAGTGTAAATTTAAAGATCATGGCCTTAATGTGTTTGTATTTTGTACAATATGTAATATGTTCACTGAATGGAGAAGATAAGTTAATTCATTCATTTGGTCAGGACAGAAACAGGTTCTGATTGCAGAAACTGCCACTTTAATAAATGTTAGTTGTTGGAAAAACTGCAATAATGTTCTACTTAGTACGACAGAGAGTCTGTGCTCTTTTCACGGCGTTCTGGGTCATCGGATAATCAAGACGTTTGTGCGTCAATATTCAGAATCTTGCGGTGCCAAAGATGATCGTCTACCTCCGAGGTCGACTACCAGCACCTGGGTTTTGCCTCCCTCCCCTATTTTAGCATGTTTATCTTCCAACTGTATATTCCTGCTCTGAGGATGAAGACCTTTGAGTAGGCTTGGCACATGACTTGTAATGTGTATAATGTACACAACAAGTTGACACACATGTTAAGGTTTGCAAACAGGAGACAGAGCTCTGTCAAACAGGACATTAAATGTCCTGTTTGGATGAACGTCTGAACGTCTCAGGATCGTTCCAAAGGGAAGCTATCAAGAAAGGGCTTAAAGAACAAGTGTGTCAGAAAAGATAAGTGCTTAATCCAATACATTAAGAATAATAGGAAGTCTTCTATGTATGCCCCTCAGAGGAGGACGTAACGAAGAATCAGAGCTGAAAGGCGCTTGAGGTTCTAGAGCTGCAGGCCTCCAGATTAAAACTCAAACACTTTTAAGAGTCTTTTAAATGTTGACATTTCCTTTTTATTTTCTCTTGTTTTACTTGATCTATTTTTTTAACCTTTTAACTTCTTTTAAAGTTTGTATTTTGTCAATTCCAACCAAAGACTAGTCTTACTAATCTCTGAGGGGCCCAAGATCAGGAATCATGGACATTTAAGACAGTAAGCTAAAGGTGTAATCGTTTCATTGTGCTATTGGACAGAAGACACCAACTGATAAAATGATTGACAGCCTCAAACACAGAAATGATCCGCATGCGTGAAATGTGGATGGCAGATGCACAGGAAATAAACAACCCATTTAAGCACACAAAAGCATAGTGTTTCTGACTGAGCTTAAGCTAGAGCCTTATTTGTAAGAAATTGGACAAACATTTTGAATAACGGACCTGCCACAAGCAAATGTTACAACCATGTTGTTCAGTGTTGTAATTTATCAACTGGCTCCTCTCGTTTATCATGCATGAAGTTGCATTGGGATTGTAGAGCTCGGTCTCTAGCAGCTACGTTGAGGTCAGATCTGTTACTCTCATTCTGTAAAAGTCACCTCAGGAACACCTGCCTTCACACGATTACGCCCGTTACACTCAGTTGCAAAGTTTAGCTCGTCAATTAGATGCAACCTGCCGATTTGCCTTCTTTCTGTTCCCACAATGAACGACATGTTTCCCAAAAACAAGAGTTTGGTTGCAGTAAATCATCCCACACTTTATTCAGTAACTGGTTTAACCAGCCAGGCAGCGTTGAGAGAAGCCTCACTGTTTTAGAAAATGTATTACAACAACCGATTTAATAAATGTTTATTTCCAAATTATACAAATATATAACACCCTTAACAAAAAAAGATGTGTAGGGCTCCACTGATGTCTGCTTTGAATACAAAAAACTACCAACCCACATATATATCCACATTAAGTCCCAGCTATTGAACACATCAAGACCCCTTTTAACGCTCAATATGATAAACTAATACATAGTTTCCATTGCATAACCTTTACAAAAATAACAAGACAAACCATTAATAATAAATAACCCATTGTGCTGTAGCTTTTAACCTGTTGGGAACCCAGTTATTGACAAAACTACCATGGTTGGAGGAGGCTTTGCTTAAGGGGTTGAACTCGGACAATGATGAACGGATGAACGGTTGAACACGGATGTTTACTCATCTATAGGTCATTCTGTTTTAATCTTTATTGACTGCTGTTCCATTTACTTTTCCTTTTATCAGAGTTGTTCGCCTTTTTCTGTAAGGAGTCCACTTCAGCATCAGTGCTAACTTTGCACTATAAGTGTAAATGAATGACAAAGAAAAACATTTATACTATATATTCAAACCTAATATCCACCCAACAGCACCAAACACATCCAGATGTAGAATTTGCAATCATCGGCTAATTGTTCTAGAACTAAAACCTTAAAGTAGCAATGACGTTTATTTCTGTTCTGACCATTTACCAAACAACCGAAGTTTTTAGGGAAAATAATTTCATATAATATTTACAAAACATCTTCAATAAGTACATAGCAGTAGTCAAACTTCACTGACTTTCTTTTTATACACTTACAGGTGAAAGCATCCACTGACCCATGAAAAGAGAAGTGAGACAGACACACAAGCACACGCTTTTAAAAGGGCTTGATGATGTTTTGGATTTCCCATCTTTGGCCAGAGCATTCTTGTATTAGAAGTTTGCCTTTTTTAATCTCCAGACATTTTTTTGAGTCTCTGTTCTTCATTTCTTTGCCCTGAAAAAAAAGGGGTGTTGAGTGTCAAGCATGAGGATGCAAAGTCATCATTTGAACGCAACTTTCTCTCCCTGGTCTTTCACAAACTTTGCTTTAGTACCTGAGTCAAGTCCCAGTAAATCCCCATTCCTTTCTGCATAGCCTCCTTGCAGTTGTAAAGGCCCGGCTCTGTGTCTTTTTTCCCAGGGTCAGCTACACACCGGTTGTCGTTGTACTTGTGGGACTTGATGCCGCCGATATAAAGTTCACCGTTTGAGCGATAGTAGGTGAACTGTAAAAAAAAATATATATATATATATATATATTTAAACAGCAAGCAGATTGGGCGTTAAAATACGATAAAAGCGGAAAACAGGCAATATTACCACGTGTATTTTTTAAGAGACTTTAATTGTTCATTTATTTTCAACCATTTTAAGTTGCCTGACTTACTTGAGGTTCGTAGTAGTGGCAGCCGTAGGCGATGGGTGTGTTGCCCGGTACTGGTCCTTGGTCTAAGCACATATCAGCATCAAGATTCTTCAGCTATAAAAGGGAAAGTTCATAATTTTGTCAAATGCATTTCACAGCGTTGCACGTGTGAATGAATCATTAGAAAATAAATACATTTGGACACGCTGTGTGCTGCATCTGCTGCCCAAACAAAAAACGTCAAACTTAACTTACAACTCCATAAGCAACTATGTTATCCCAGGGATCCAATTTGGGATATACATTTTCCAGGTACCATTTGAAAGGTTTACATTTTAACGTTTCCCGGAGTTTCTTCCTCTCCGAGACGTCCCCGATGTCAATTCCGTGATTCTGTGGATGATACGGAGTGAACCTTTTTCATATTGAAACAGAAGAAACTCAAACGCACTCACAATTAACGCTACACGGACTCTCGGACGTTCATCCGTCACTTCTGTTCTACCTCAAATGGCAAGTTCCAAGCCAAGTTGACGTTGTGTTTGTATTCGTCCATCCAGATTTCTGCGACCCTCAGGGCGTTCCTCTTCATGGCCTGGCTCAGGTCGGGCATGTAGGGCTTGTGTGCCCTCTCGATGTGAGCGATCCGGGAGCACGGAACTACTTCGATACTGCCTCCGCACGTCCACACCTGTGAGAGCAAATAAAAGCGCTTTAACGCTAAAACTGATGAACCAACGAAAAACGGTGTGAGTGAAAGCGTGAATGAAGCTACCTAAACCTTTTGTTTAAACAGGGTCGGGTAAGCGTAGCGCTGCTGGGGCGGCCTTCATAACCAACTAGCCATTATATGCACAGTATAAAAAGATATCTGTGACACCCTTTAATGTTACTCGACTATTTCTTGGGTTTCTTCTGAGCAGCTGACGATTGACTGCAGTCCGGCCCTCGTGACTGGACTTGTGTGTTTTTTTTTATATTATGTCTAATTGAAGGTGCTTATTGAGCAGCATCACTCGCACAAATAGGCACAAATAAAACTGCCAGTTTGAATCCTCACGAGAATCTACAGGTCACATGGGATGTTTAATGATGCCTCTCGCGTTTCTGATCCAACTTTAAGTTAAGTTATCGATTTTCTCTGGGTAATCGTAGCCGGGATGTGTACTTTTTTATTCTATTTTTTTTTTACTCACACGAATTCCCAGCTCGACATTCTCTCCCCCGTATACTTTCATGCCTTTGTCGATGACTCCAATTTCTCCAAGATACTTCCTGTCAGCAACCATGATCCCCATGACAGATGGGCTTCTGAGGCGAAAGAAGGTGAAGAAGAAGCTTTTAGATTCTCAAGATGCGATTAATCACTGATCGTATCGTGCACGAAATAGTTTTGTACACAACAACTGTGTCATGAATCATTAATGAGGCCGCAGTGTTTGGTTCCTTTGTAAATTGGGAGGAGGCGGACTGATTCCACTTCAACTTACTTTCCTGGCAACGAGCCGTCTTGGAGTTTGTAGTAGTCGTCCGAAAACCCCTCGTACATGCACCACAGAGCCCAGTCGAATGCGTGTGACGCCGGCTGGTATTCGGTCACCTTGAGGTCATCAAAGTTGATTCTATCAAACACGGGGGACGTCACCACCGTCCGGTCACCTTTGATCTGTGTGAGCAGGGGTTCGGCCCTACGAGAGGGGAACCGAAAGGGCGTCCGTTCATTTACAAGGAACCCAGTTACACTCCCGGTGAATGAATAAGAGTTTGTGTATATTGTGCTCGTATTTCAATGTCAGAAACACACATCTCACACCTATGTTTGTTTAACAAAAGGTCTGAATTTAAACCGAACCCAAGTCAAGTACGGCGCGGCACTAAAATAAAAAGAGAGCGATGAATTGGCTCGACAAACCGTTGAACCACAAATGAGTGTGTGACGAGAAGATTGCATCTTAAGCAAAAAGCAAAAAGCCAAAATAGACATCGTTTGGCGCAGATGCGACGAGTTTTTTTTTGTGTTGCCCCATTCTCACCACTGCTCGTGGACTTCGATGTGCGCGTCCAGGATGGCCACCACGTCGGCCGTGGCGGCCTCCCACCCAGAGGCTCTGGCGTGCGCGAGACCTCGCTGCTCGCTGTGCCTCACTCTTGCAATCCGGAGACTTGGGTTCTGCTGCTCGGTCGTCTTTATGTACGCGTCGAGGTCCTCCTTCAAGTCGTCTGAAACGAGAGTGAAATGTGGGCCGTGTGTTCACTAGTTCAGAGGTGGCAGTTTGCCAGATTATATAGATTTAGGAACATTATGAAAGGGATGTGTGTTTATAAAAGGAACGTTTTCATTTGACCAACGGCCATTATGGCCATCTGGTTATGACTTCAGTTATTGCCAGCATTTAAATCATTTGTGGTTTGCTCATTTATTTTTACAATAACGTAAGGCCAGAGATTATTTTTTATTTAAGCATCCAAAGGTATTGCTCGGTTGCCAGAATTTTTCTAGGTAATTATTGTCAATATCCGAGATCTAAGACCAGTCATATGCTGAAATAAGCTTAACTGCAGCTGGTTTCACTTTTAGCAAAACATTTAACAATGGTATCAGTATTCTTATATTGGCAGCAAAGCTCTAAAATACACTACCTCATTAAAGCAGACAATCTCACTCTGAGGGATTAATATGTCTGCTGTAAAAAGCAGATACATAACAAAAGTATCACATCAATAAACCCCCTAAAAATTGAGCAATTTGAGCAGCAGCTGCTTTTGCACAATGTTTTATCAGCTTTATCAACTTTTAGTACAAGAAAACACTTGACGAACTGTTGTTCATCAAATTTCAAATCATGAACCATTTGTAGCCAACCAACCATTGGAGCTATTGTCATCCACCAATATTATTTCCTTCAGCAGGTGTTTAGGTGTGCGGTCGACGATGCTGCGCACAGCTCTTTGGATAACAGACAGGGCCTCGTTCAGGTAGATCAACACCACGCCCAAAGTCGGCAGGTCCTTGGGATAAATCTTCTTCAGACACCTATTAAAGAACAGAAAGATTCCTAATAGAGGTGTAACGATTCATTTTAACAACGATTCGATTCGAATCGCGATTCATGGTTGCCGATTCGATTCATGGACGATGTGGGTTAATTTAGAACGATTCGATTTGATTCAGTGACTTGAAATCGATTCATTAACTTTACTGGACAGTGCAGGGAAAGTTTCTGAGATCCCTGTTTCTTGTAAGGAAATAAGGTTTAAATTAATTATGAATATTATAAACAAGCAAACAACAATTAATGGCAAATCTTAACCTTTTATTTGAATCAAGTCAATTTTCAATGTGTAATCTATTACACAATAATTACACAATGTTTGGATCAATTTACAGAACCCCGGATTTTCAACCACATTGTAGGGTCGCATGTCTTTACAGATAAACTTGCCAATTGTTACTGTGATGTTGAGTTTGGTGCTGGCGAGGCCTGAGGTGTCTGCAGAGCTGCAGTTACCTTCTGCTGCTGCTGCAGCGGTGACGTTGCTAGAGGCGCCTGACTGTCGGCGTTGTTTAATCCCACGGCGCCTTAGTAGATGGCCGGAAAGATTCGTCTCATTTCCGTGTTTTTTTATTTGGCTTCTACATATTCTACAAACAGCGACCGACTTATTTACTTAACACCTCCGTGTTTGCAAAAGCCAAAATGTGTCCACGCGCTGGATCGATAAGTTGGTTTGTAAATGTCTCGCTCGCAGTCGTCTCCTCCACGCTGTGTTTTGTTGTTGTTCAGAGTTTCGCGCGGCTGCCGCTGCGTACTGATGACGTCACAGACAGGCAGACTGAATCCAGTAACGTTTAACGTGTCTCAAGTGCTAAAAAACAAACAGACACACACCCATACCATTTTTGTACTTAAATCCAATGTGCAGTTTCCAAGTATCGATACAATCGATTATGTAAAATTTCAATCGATTTGTAATCGATATATGTCGTCCGGAATGCCAATTTGCGGAGCACAGATCGAATCAGTTGGATCGCAGGAATATAAATCGATTAATCGATTCAGTGAATGAATCGTTACACCCCTAATTCCTAACCAACCACATGCCAAGATCTGTCAATCAGCGAGGCGTGTTGAGAGAGCAGTCGCATGAGCAGGAGGCTGAAGAGCTGGTTAGACGACCACAGTTCAGTTTGTTAGGTGAGATGGAATGTTTGGGTTAATAAACAGTAACAGCGATGGGTACCTTTTATCTCTGGTGTCTGGAAGGGCTCGGTCTACAGGGAGGCGATCGCTGAGATAAACGTTGTATCCGTACTTCATATACAGACTCTGTGCCTCGGTTTGGACGTCCTCGGGCAGATTTTCCCCCCACGCCTTGAAGAGGGCAGAGTTCGGGAACAGTTTGTTTGACTTCTTCTCCTCGGGGGGCTTCGGTTGCTCCTGAATCTTTGAATCAGGTTGCTCTGGCTGTTTTTCGACTGAGAGCTTTTTGACCTCTGCGGCTGCTCTCTGACCGGCTCGGTCCTCTTCAAGCATTTTCTGCATGGTTTTCTGCTTTTGCTCAAACGTTTGGAGTTCATTGACTTAACAAACAGACGACAGGGAGAAAGCAAAATGAGCTGAAGATAGCAGAAAATGCAGCAGTTTAAAAATATATATATATATTTGATTAGTTTTATGCTGATTGATTCTACACAGTGAATCCAGAGGGAAATAAATCATCAGGACACGTCAGCACACAAAAGACACAAAAATACTTAAAACACAATAATGTACTGAATGGAACATTGCTTCATTTATTAACTCGTAAATTGTGCACTGGTGTATTTTCCTTAATTAAAAAAAAATCCCATCATAAGAAATTTAAATAATATTCAACATACGAGGGGAGAATCTTTCTTTCTCTTAACGAAAACACGCGCGTCCAAGATAATAGTAGTATCTAATAGTATTTTCATGTGCCACATATTGTTATCCTAAAACGCGTTATGCCAAAAGCAGAGAATAAAACAACTTTGTTGTACCGCGAAACATCTTCTTTAATTCCTACGGATAAATCGAACTGAACAAAAAAATTCTTTCAATCATTTGAAGTTTTTGAAATTCAACCCGAAAAAAACATAAAAATAAATGAATAACTTCATCCGAGTAACAAGGGAAAAAAAGATTAACCGTTGCTTCAACTCACAGATATCGCTGATGTTTCTCTGCACGTCGGAGAAGAAGCGGATCAGCCGCAGGGGTTCCAGCTCTTTGTCAGCGGGCTCATTTGTCCTCCCCAGAAACATGCTGACGTAGAGGAGCAGCCCGAAGCCCCCCAACACGAGGACCACCCGCTTCAGAGCGGATGCCCTCATACTGGGGAAAAAAAAGCCAACGAGAGAGTGAAACACGACGCGAGACCGCGCGAGATTGAGTGACTGCAGGGGACTAAAGGCGCACGTGCGCGCATCCCCGTGTTTCGCTTATTTTCGGCAGCGCAGAAAGCGGTCGCCTCCCACGGGGCGGATATCAAGTCACCTTCGTAACTCCCAAATATGTACAACAAACCCCCCAATGTCGTTTGGGTTCTTATAACACCTTTATACCCCCTCATAATTGTGTTTTTTTTTTTTTGGGGGTTGGGGGGGGGGGGGGGGTCAAAACGTAAAGTTTTAAAAACAAATCTTTGGAAAGAGGGCATCAATGACTTCTCTCCGTTCAGCATTGTGTTTGAGTTTGAGACTAGGTGTGCCTTTGTGCAACATTTTAACCTAGTTTTTTCCGCAACGATTTGACTTCTGAACTTTTGAAAATCTGTGTAAATTAGACACAGCATTACATTACAGGTCAATTAGCTGACGCTTTTGTCCAAAGCGAGTTATTGCATTTTTAACCCATGGCTTTTTACATTTTTGCCCGGGGAGAAATTATGGGATAGGTGTGTTGCTCAGAGACACTTCGACGTGGGACATGGAGCAGCCGACATGCACGCGCCCCACTCCATGCGCCACCGCCAACCCAACCCCACAACAAAGCAGATAGATGAACATTATGGGTTGCCCATCTGTCTTTGCATTAACTTTATAACTTATTATAAGTTAGGAGCTTAAAGAGAACATTTTTTGAGAAAAACGCACACATTTGGGTATCTGGAGTGCCATTATTAGCCGTTTAGCCTCTTCTATCACTTGCAGGCTCCTAAGAAGACCTCCTATGTATGAATAGGACCCCAAAATTTAGAAATGACAAAGTTGTGGCGTGTGTCTCACGAGCCAGTCATAAAGAACGGTGCTTTTTACAATAGGTGTAGTTATAGAGACACCTGCTTGAACAACAGAAAGCAGATGGCAAATGTGTACTTAATATAGACTTAATGGGATTTTATTACGAGTTTACCTAAATTACATCTTAGATATCATTTCTCAGCAATTTCTTTCAGCCACAAAGCTCTTGGTTAGAAGTTTGAAATTAAAATGAAATCTTCTTCATTCATTTAGAATACAGCTCTTTAGAATAATATATGATGAGAACATCTGTGTTTTACACTACATTCCTTTCAGGGAATGAATTGGTACTCGCACAGCTTTTTAAGGATTTTTTTGATCTGGTCCAGTTTCCTCCTCAAAACCTCATGGCTTCCTGTGAAAAAAATGTATCTGTTTGCCAACTCATCATGCAAATGACGAAGCATGTTCAGAGTAAAAAGCTCCAATTATTCCAGCTCTTTGCAGATGTCTTCATTGTGGTTCGTCACAAAAGGATCACATTGAGCATGTTCTGTACTTCTATGCCAATGAACTGATTTGATAACATATACGCTGGTAAATCAACAAAAGAGCATTGTCTTATAAACCCGTCATTAGAACACAAAGTCAACACACGGCTCTTGCGGGAAACTCCAGTACCGACATTAAGCTTGATAGATTGATATGTTGGCGTGAGAGCGGAGGTTGACTAACACTATCTAAGAAGCAATAAAGAGACGGTGCCAAGTACACTTTAGTATCTTTTGTGCAAGCTTTCTTATGACCTTCATGCTTGTACCAAACTCCCTTTGTAAACTGTAATGGAGTTCAGCAACGTCATTTTTGAAGGATATTTTTTTTCTAGTCAACTGTGTCTCTATAGATTTCATAACTGCGTTTTCATTAGTGTCAAATGGTCTTCACATTAGAATTGTTTTCATCGGCTTGGAAAACCAAGTCAACCAAGTGAAGTGGACAGGAAAAGCCAATACTTTATCAATACACCTGTTCAAGCAGGAAAATGTAAACAAAAGTGAACGCTTTTTGCAATCAGTGATCTGCTTTTTGTAATTTGCTTGGATCTGCAATCCACCACAAAAGAAGTCTGTCTGTTCAGTCTTGTGGATTCACAGAAAAGTGAATTAGCAGAGGGAAGACGACAGAGAACAGGACAGGGGGAATTACTTGTTCTTTTAAAGGATCTTTTTGTTACATGTCAACTCTAAATAAAAAGAGCATTTATAAATGATCTCCTTAGCAGGTCCTGCATTAACGGACACTTTCCGGCAGGCCGGTGGGAATTCTCACTGTTAAAAAATACAATGCACTCTAAAAAGCCCAACTTCAAATTTGTTTGAACACAAGTCAACAAATACCTTTGAAAAAGTTGAACTAACTCAAAATGTCAACTTTACTAATAAGTACTGCAATCCACTGAAACATTTAGAAACACACACACATATACTGTATGTGTATACACACAGGGATTTAAGCCAGAAGTGCACCCCTAGTGGTGGAAATTATAACACGTGTAATAATGTTTAGTGTTAGAATTGTAGTTTGTGATGTTAGATATTAGTTACATTAACATTACATTAACATGTTAGAGGAAGTGAATGCAATTTGAATCAAACACAATGTATAGTCATTTAAATCATATAAACACTGTACACATTAACATTCTGTCACAATGTGATGTTAAAACCTGGGGACGGATGCTAATTGCCGTCCTTTATGGATTTCTCCATATTTCCAGATTTTTATCCCCAAAGAGGGTTTTTTGAGAGTTTTTTCTCCTGTCAGGTAGTAAATGAACAACTTAATGTAAGGCACCCGACTGAGGAAAATGTCCTGAGAATTGGACCACATGAGCTGTCTTAGATCTTATGATGAAGTGTGATGAACGGTGATCATTAATGATGTGTTGTAATGAAGGTGTACTAGTTAAAAGATGAAGACAAACTATGCATGCTTTTTTATATTCACTCATTGAGGCATGGAGCCAACTGTATCTATTGAATGCATTGCAATGTATTGCAATGCATTGCAATGCAAAACTGTCTTTCTGGTCTATGGTAAGTCAGGTCTCGGCAGGCCCAAAGTCGTATATGGAAGTCTTTTAGTTATAAGGAAGTCTATTAGTTCTCAAAAGCCGAAACGCAGCTATGACTACTTCAGGGAACTAGAACAGAGAGGAATACATTAATCAGGTCAATAACAGAGAAACACGTGGCACCTGGTGGAACCAATGACAAGATCGTACGTGGATTTGCCACTTCTGGTGCCCATTGAAAGGTGGCTGCATTTACTGCTCGCAAATCCTGCACAAATCTCCATTCTGTGAGCTGACCATTATCACAAACCTTTTTTAATGGGTGTGCGCACAGGAATCTTCACATGGTACTATAATACCTGGTTTAAAAAAGGGATTCAAAAACTGGTTTTATACAATCGATGGCTTCTTGTTTGAGGCACGGCCTGTAATTAGATTCAGGACACCCTACCAGCGGCGCCGCGCCCTTTGTGAGACCCACACGGTACTGTCTGCTGCTAAAATTGGATACAAGCCTGCTTTTTGTTTGTGTTCCTCGAGGAGCGCTACGGTTTTGCGCGCTCTGTACTTTTGTGATCAATGTAGCGCTGCCTACATTACTACTATCGCCCCTTTGAGGATCTTTTGCACCCGGCCTGAAATCTTTAAGGCTGAGACGCTGTTACAACCATGGACCAAGATCCTGCCATTCCCAGTGAGATGGTTTAGCCAATAAAATGTTTCTTTTGTGTATTAGTGTGTCTGCCTCAATCATACATATTCAACGAACCCCTACTGCCTCGACTGGCTGTGTTTGATAAGGTGCGTTTTGACAATTGCCTTGCAGATTATATATATATATATATATATATAATGTCCTGTCGTGGCTTTGTGGTGTCTGTGAGAGTCCTTTAAGCCAGAGTGGCTGACGATTGGGGATGAATTGAAGTTTTGGAACCAAACCTTTCAGTTAAGGTGTGTTCACACAACCGCGGTGCGAATAATTTGCGCTGTAAGGATGAGCGCGTGTGTTTAAAAATGTCCATAACCTTTCCCAAAAGTTTTGGGATTCTATTTTTTTCTCCAGGACTTTTCCAGGCCTGGAAATCACTTTTACAGGTTTTTCATGACCATATGAACCCTGTTAACAATAAAAAGTCATAACAAATAAAAAGACTAAAACATAATGGTTAGAGGATCTTTTTTCATTATTTATTTACAGAATATGGTTGAAGACCAAACAATCAGCGATACTGCTCGAAAGTTGTTGGTAGTTTAGTAATTGACCGTCTTGGCCGGCCTTGTCTCATCCAGGTCAGCTTCAAGGTAACGGAATCGGCGATGACGGCGCAGAATCTCAATTGCCTTTTGTTCTACGGTGGAGGGAGTGATGCCAAGATCCTCCAGACCAGGAAGTCCTGGGTACTTCATGTCTGTTGCGTGAAACTGGAAAAACAAAAGCGCAGTAGAGAATCAGTGATGGCTGGAGAACGTCTGCGAGTGAAAACAGGCTCTTTTCATAGAAGGTCGTCTTACCCTCTCTACTTTGTCTGCGGTTGTCCAGGGTTCAAATGGGTTCATTGAGAAAAACTTAGCAGCAAGGCTGAAAGTAGAAACACAAAAGCCTTCACATGATATTACAGAGATAAAAATTACACCTGAGAAATGGTTGGATTACTAAACCGGCCTTTTTCTGTGAATCTTTCAGAAGACTGATATAGATCTGCAAGTAAAAACCTCTAGAAACTGTGTGCAAATATGGTATCAATATGGGTGTACACTTTGCTATTATTTACAATTAAAGCATCTTGTATGTGGTGTGGTTGGATGCTCGAGTCAAGAGGGCTTTTCTCTGAAAATGCTGAAAAACATTTTTAAAGCACGTACTGATAGAGCGGGCGAGGCAATGGGTAGGGCAAAAAAGGTCTGTGGGCCACCGCGTAGATGTACTCCACCAGGTCATGGAGGAGGTAACGGTTGGGACTGGACGACGGGAGAAAACAGGACAAGAAACAGTTCAGGAAGGAGAGCTGAATACTAAGCTGTGTACAAATATTGCATGTTCGGCTCATCCTTGCACTCTTTTCCTCTCACTCCTAGATTTATATAATGATAATCCAACTTCATGAACAAAACAAGTGTGGTCCAAATAATAATAACAGAAAACACAAAAATAACTTGATTACAATATTAAAAAGGATACAAATGTAATAGACTTAAAATCACAGTACTGGTAGTAAAACAGCATGAAATAAAAAAAGGCATCAATAAAATAAAATACATTGAAATAATGAAATAAAAATAAAAAAAGGTCGGAGCAGCTCCTGGATGCTCAGGCAGACTGAGACTGTTCATCAAAAGGGTTACGCCTGCACTTTGGAAGAACATTATGAACTTTACTGGCTCGCCCACTGATAGCATGTATGCCAAATCGAGACCATGAAGTGCTGTAAAAACAATCTTTCGTGTAACTTCACAGTTTTTTTTTTTAATAGCCGACATAAACTTCAAGGACTGCACATTCCAAACAATGCTGTTCCCTTCCCTCACATGGCAGAATTCTGTAAATTATACCTGTAACTACAAATGATATGCGATTCATGGAAATACTGCTATCCACTTTCAGTATTTGCTCCGATACTTTGCACGCGCTTGTGAGCGATGGACACGTACCCAACTAATGCATACGTCTTGCCGTTAGCATCAGGGTCTCTGACAGCACTGATGATGGCCTTGGCCACATCCACCACCTGAGGAAGAAAGAGACGGCTCAGCTGGGTTCATTTGATCATCTGTATTTACCGAAGGGATTACATCAAAATAGCGGTCCCTTCACAACAAACGTACGTGAACGGGCTGCTTGACGGTCTTCTTTCCCATGGATATGAGCGGAGTAGCGTTGCCAAACCAGCGCATGTCTGAGAAAGGACATTACATTTTCACTGGTTAGCTGACGTGTGCTCGTAGGGTTAGAGCCCGAGGTTCACGAAAGAGCACAAAACACAGCCTAATCACAGAAACCGAATCTATCTGACATGTCAGCCCACCAGTCGATTATAGTCAATGACTGATTTCAGAGTCTCTTCCACTTACGCCAACTACTTACTTGCATAATAGTTGAAGAAACGGTCCTCCCGGCCAAACATCTCAGATGGCTTCATGATGATCGCGTCGGGAAACTCGTCTCTCACTGCCGTTTCGCCTACAGCCTGTGGGTAAAAGTACAACGATCTAGTACATTTATACAGATACACCAGTTTGAACGAACCAAAACAGCCCTTCACCTTGTTCCTCAGGTATTTGGACTGGCTGCGTATGTCAGCGTTGAGGTGGGACATGTGGACAAACTTTGTGATGCCGGCCTCTCTGGCCGCCTTGGCAATCTGCTGAGGGAGGGTCACAAAGACATCCTCGAAGCGGTAGTTGCTGTTCACAAAGAGGAGGAATACTTGCACATGAACAACAAGTTTAAGGCGATAACATTGCACATAAACCAAACCCTTTTGGACTTCTGCCAACACATACCTCGTTTCCCACTCTCTGCCAACGAGGTTGATGACAACATTAGAGTTGTCCAACGCCCGTTTGATGGAGTCTTTGTTCCTCGCATCCCAATCCTGTGACGAGGCAGAGACAACACATTTTCATTTCACTAGAGGCTTGAAAAGCATCATTCCTACAAGTGAGTACATGCAGATCAAAGAATCGGCAAGATTTCTTCAAGATACACGCGTGTCTGTGTGCATCTTACCATGAAAATGATCTGTCCAAGATCCCCCATGGGCCTCAGGTACATGACGTCATACTGATCACAACGGTGAGGGACGACAACCTGAGAGCCGATGCGACCTGCAAGTCAGCAGTTAGTAAACGGACAATCACGTCTTTGCGTCATTCTCCTTTTTTTTTTTTCTTCCTAACTTTCAAATTCATTATCCTAGTAGTATATATAAAATGAAACAAACATTACAATTTGTTGTTATGTGACTTGTCTTCCAATGCAGCTACTTGTGATGTATATTAAATAGCATTATTGAAGAACATGTGTGAAACATGACTTTCTTTTAATTGTAAGATAGCTTGTAGTTTTGTATTTTGTAAATACGCTTTTGTTAAGATGTTATTTGCAAAAAAATGGATGTTATTTGCTTGCAGAATTTGTTTTGCAGCGTGTATTATTGTACTGTCAACTATTGTATGATATTTTATGATCTTTTTATGAACATGTTTACCTGATAAGCTTAATGGAACCACAGCAAATAATAATTAAATAGTAGTTTGAGAATACTACGACACAAAACTACATTGAAGCATGCAGTGTGAACAGGGTGCCATTGATTTAACAATTGACTCATATACTCCCGTAAGAACTTTAAAAATCAAATCAGCAATTGGTGGCTGGCAAAATCTGAATTCTGGGCCAATTTAAATGCTAAAATCACATCAAAGGATAGACATTAGAACAGCGGTGTCAAATATACGGCCCGTCGGGGGGTGCAGTTCGGCCCGGTGGATGACTAAGTGTAAAAATGACATAAGACATAAATGAAAGACTTTTGTATTTATTCTATCTCAAATAAATCACAATAACTCAACAACTATTTAAACATTCGACTTGGTAAATCAATAGGTACATTTATCCTAATTGCGCTGCGATCTTATCTGGGACATTGGACATGTAATGAAATGTTCACACGCTCAAAATACGCACGTTTGCTGAATATAGACTGTTGGGAAATATCAGTATGCATTACATTTAACATCAGTAATTATTTAAACTATATTTTTCAACTCACCCAGCCTGTTGACGACGTATCGACCCAGAAAGCCTGTAGCACCAAACACTGTTGCCGCTATTCCACTGGAGGAGGAGCGTCCTCCTTTACCTTTGGGGACGACAGCATGGTGAAGCTTCCTCTGCTGGACTTTGGTGACGGAGGCAGCTGACAGCACAGCAGGGGAGTAGCTACCTATTGAGAGGAAAGCCACAGCGTTCGATCCACATCATAGAGGTGCTCTTCATTTCTATGCAGTTACGTCAATGATATCATTAGGGCGTACGAAAAAACACATCCAATACAAAACAATTTAGTTCAACATCATCGCTAGTTACGTAGTTGAATCATCAAAACGGAGATCCAGATGTGGCTGGTGGCAGGCTACTGTGACTCAGTGGAGTGGACCGGTTCCTAACGGCATCCAAGTTTCCTAAACGCATGGTACAGCTTGAAAGTGGAATGGGTCGGGAAGCGGTACCGGTCTGATAAAGGACTCCAGCGTTCAAGATGCACCTGCCTTTAGGAAAAGGCAAATGCAGCTGCAGCAGGAGTGGCATCTGTCAATCACTGAATCACATCTGTACCTGACCGAGTCAAAGGAGCCTACCAACGGCCACTTTTCAATCTCGGCATTCAAAATTGCAATTCATTTTTTCAGTTTCAGGTTCGGACTCCCCCACCCTCATTGTGTTTCACTCTCTGAATATACTATATAATATTGCATGCACTGACAGATGGAAACATATATACACACACACACACACACACACACACACACACACACACACACACACACACACACAGAGTAGCAAGAAGGTTTGTTAAAAGGCTGCATGCTTCCTAACGAACACTCAATGAGGAGCCTCGGACTGTACATAAGCACTGCGTTGTGTACTACGGAAAGATAGCTGATGACAAAAATATAATGGGGACCAACTCTTGCTCCCTGTGAAGACAAATCACTTTAAAATATCGCCACAATAACACAACAACATATCACTTAATGCTATATTGATATTTCAAAATTAAAAGAAACATGGCGACGTAAATATGACAGACGTAACGTTAACGATAGGCCACTATGCAGGAAAATGGCTATAAATCAGCCTAACCATTATTTGATTAACACACATGGAATTGTAGGTGTTTGTACAGTCATTTAACGTTAGACAACAATATTAAAGTAATTACAAAATCTAAATGTGAGTTGCTAGCAAGCTAAAGCCCTTGCTAAGAGGTGACTAGCCGAGCCGGTTAGCAAGGTCAGTGGAACCGACTGTGTGATCTAACTGTGAGACTGGGTTGGCACGGACTACGTGTTAAAATATTCAATATAACAACAATATACTCCTAGATGTCAATGCAAGCACCACAAACCTTCTATTTTGACATTACTCACTTGAAATCTTGGGAAGGACACTCGCAGGACGGCTAACCAGTGCTACGGTCGCCATCTTTCCTACTACGGCAGAGCGCATGGGCCAAAAAGCCTACGTCAATTCACACTAGCGGTGGTTAGAGGACAGTGTGGCGCGCACTGCTGAAACCTGGGAGCTGTGGTCCAAACACTACTAAACGTACAAAAAGGTTTAGATATTAACTATTTATAAATAAATAATCTATTTATTTACAAATTATCTTTTTGCACATTGTTTTAAGTTGCATGTGTCGATTGGAACCAATATTTAAATTAAAACAGTCAAATACTATTCAAGTGGGCCTGGACGACGGGGTTCTGGCGGGGTTTGCGTTTTTATTAACAAAAATTAACACTTTTTAAGTCTTTCAAATCATTTTAGATACAGTGTCCATTATTCCACGTGGAAACATGGAAACAAACTGAAATCTGGATAGTTATAATTAATAAAAATATACATATATTTATTTGGTACCTACTATATTTAGCTACTGTGGCCTTTGCACTCGTTGTTTAATTCATTTTTTAATTCTTATTAATTTTATCATTATCATTATACTGCTGCTCTTACTCTTTTACCATGTATCTTGTGTGCACTGTCCACTTTACTGCCGCAATCCTGTGAATTTCCCCATTGTGGGACTAATAAATAATAACTTTAATTTATATAGCACCTTTCAAAACAAAGTTGCAAAGTGCTAAATTAATATCTTATCTTATCTCTCTCTTCAATATGAAAGAATATGCTCTTGAAAACAAACTTTTATTCTTCATAAAAGACATACAAGTGTTTATGAGTACAACATAACTTTTCTTGTTTCAATCCATTGTCTTGGGATCACTTGTTTCTGAGCTAAGAGATAGGGAGGGAACAGCCTATCAATGTCCAATTCAATCTCTGTTGGCGACTTAAGACATAAATCCATTGTATTAATTGTATTTTCTGTATTGTTAGACGAGAATTATTATCAAATAAAAGGGATTGTGGCAGAGTAGTCTGAACCCTTGTTGACAGGTAAGAATCGCACGTTTTCTAATCCAGGTGTACACACACAATAATAAAGTGCAAGATGTCTAATACTGCAAAGCACAAACTATCAATAACTTGATTGTCTTTTTGATACTAATACAAATTACATTATGAAGAACAGACAAAAATATTTTAATACAACACAACAAGTAAAACCTTGTCCAAACCCTCAACAAATATTGGAAATATTCTTTTAATATGTGTTCTGTATTACACCGTAAATTACAGCAGAAATATATACATTTATAGTAAATTATATTACAATTACATATTTGTAAATATTTGGATTAAATTGTTAAACACATATGAAACAGGCTCAAACATACTCCAACACAAATATGTGAAATCATTAATAATCAATATGTCAACAACAAAATTCTGCAATTAAAAAGGATATGACAATTAGTTCTTTGTGAACATGATTAAAAAACTCATTTTTTGGCTCAGCCTTTATCCTACACACTTCTTAAAATATTTTACGATTTTTAAAGTTATGCTAAATGTGTAAAAGAAAACAGAATACAATGTAAAACAAAACATTTGATTTATTTTATAACCATGCAGTGTGTAGTACTTTGCTTTTAAACTTAGTAACCAAGAACAACCTACAGTATTATGGTGTAACCTGTTTATCAAAGATTTCAATGCCCAGCAAAGATTGGGTTCAATAAATAATACAGGAGACAGTGAGAAAGTTGATGCTGTACTATTAAGTAGTTTTTTTATCATCAATATTCAAAATTCGCAATGGTATTTGGCAGACGGCTAGGTATCTCAATGCTGACACACATAAGCGAAATGTCTGCAACTGCACCTTCATATGAAAAAGTACAACTGGGTGATTTACTTCCCGGTCATAAAAACTCAAAGTTTCACAGAATAAAAGAATGGGCTATGACTGTATTCCTAAAACAATTAAATAGAGGATATGCTTTTTTGCTGATGATTATCGTGCCCCCCCGTTTACATCTATATTTTATTCACGGCGTGTGGGAACTGGTTTGCTTCCTACCATTGAGGTCAAAAACATGGGACTCAAAACTCTGAAAGTGAGACTTTCCTCTGGCTCGGACGTCTCTAACGACGACGTCATGCAGACACAGAAGCTTAATGGCAGTGTTCGTAGTAAATGGATTTTAGAGACCTTTACATTTTCTGTTTTTTTGAGGGCCAAACAAATGGCCCCTTTTCCCCTCAGCTGTCCATTTACTCGCACTTCACCGACTTGATCGCTCCTCGGCACACTGAGCCTGAGCAACAGTTCCCAAATGTCATGAGCGCAGCACGACTCCCTTTATATGATAGGGGGCAAACACTGAGACGACTCTTGGCTGTCTTTTCTCTCCGTGCCCACTCCCTCTTGCGGCTTGATGATGATGTGAACGGGCCTCTCCCCACCTCCTTCTTGCTGCTTGGCATCCGTGGACATCTTCCCCTCATTCTCACCCGCCTCCTCCTCCGCTGAGGCCCCGATGGGCCGCAGGCGTTCGGCGGGAGCCATCTTTGCTGCTGCTGCTGCTGCTGCTGTGCCGTCTCTCTTCAGCTTGTCGGTGGTGCTGCTTTCTGAGCTGCCTTTCTCTGCTGTGCCATGGAAACGAAATGCATTAAATTAACACACTCTGTCGGAATGTCCGCTGCGATGGCAAAAGCTAATGGTTTGCTGAGAGTGAGCCGCACGTCACCATTCCAACTGAGCCATAAGGATTTTATTATGCACTATCATATGTATCTCTGATCTATTTTAGCTGTTTTTTTGTTACTTAAATATGGCTATTATCCAGTTCATGAAATGGACTGTTCCTTGTATGTCCAACATACACGGCAAATAAATGGTTCTGACTCTGACACTCGTACCAGGCTTGCTGGTCGAACTGCCTGAGGCCTTCTTCGCTGGCGGCTTGGTTCTTGGGCGGACTCTGTTGAAATTTCCCTCCAGGATCCACTCATGCTGCAGCCCCTCGTCTGGAGTCATACGCTTGGTAGGGTCCCAACTGAAGACACGCACACAAAAACAACTCAAGTCGGGTCGATCATTTAATCTTCAATAATGTATCACTCAAGCAAACTCAACAAATAAAGTCCAGTTTTCTTTTTCCAGATGTTTAGCGTAAACCTACGTGAGGCAGCGCTTGATGAAGTCTAAGAACAAAGCGTCGTTTGTTTTCAACGTCGCCGACAGCTCCTTGGAGTTGGGTCGTCTCTTCTTCCCTTTGCTATTTGTGATGCTCCTGGGATTTCCTTTCGAGTCTGCACACAATTATCCAACACATCATTGGTTTGTAATCTCAGCACATTGATCACATTGGATGAGTAGTGTCACACCTCTTGCAAAGCATGGCCTAGTTATTCATTGCATTCTGATAATGTTTAGCAATCCTTTAGTCTACCAAAGCGTAAAATATGATATTAGAAATATCTAAAGCTGAATAAATACTCACCAAAGAAAAGCCTCCTCCTCGCAGCTGACTGAACAAAATCGTTCGGCGGCGCGCCAAGAACCTGTAAATAAAAAATCACATCACCAACTCAACAGCTGTTTAAAGTTGGTGAAGTTTTCATGCATTATTATTTCCAAGTCATACCTCCATTATGCAGGCGATCTGCTCCACTTCGCTCTCCCCTGGGAAGATCGGATAGCCTGTGTAGAGTTCAGCGAGGATGCAACCCAGACTCCACATGTCGATGGCCATGCTGTACGGGTGACCCAGAATGACCTCTGGGGAGCGGTAGAAGCGACTCTGGATGTAGGTGTACACTGATGGTTGAGACAGATGAGACTGAGGGTTGCAAGATGCACTGTGGACCATTTCTTAATTACTGAATATCTCTACATGGTTAAGTATTGTTACATATTGTCTAAATTTAGTTCAATGCTCTTACCTCTTTGTTGTTCATAACAGCTGGATCCAAAGTCAACCACCTTGATGTTCCCCGGCCCCCTCTGAGATAGAAGGATGTTCTCCTGTTGAAAAGGGGAAGCAGAAACCTTCATACCAGTTGCTTTTATAAACTGCAGCTGCATTATCGTTACCTTCAACAAGATGGAGAAATATTTGCACTTATTGTTGTGAGGGAGTTCATCTGATTATCATCAGCAGTGCAATGATTCAGTGCAAAGGGGTGGGCCACATCAGGTCAGTACCGGTTTGAGGTCGCAGTGGATAATCTTCTCCCTGTGCAGCATCTGCAGGCACCTGAGAAGAGCGTGGGTGAACCGACGGATGAGAGCGAGACTGAAGCCCTGGAAGTTGTTTTTTTTGATGAGCTCGTACAGGTTCACTCTGACGAAAGAAACGACACAAGATACCGTTAGTTCACGATGCTGTTAAACTTCATGAGATGATATATTTTGTTTACAATAATCTGCATTTAAATACTTTGTTCCATATATACAGAACAAGCTCAGTACTAATTCACTTAAAAAATGATGCACCACAGGAATCATTTCTAACATCCGCTGAGTGAGAAGCACATTGTTAAATAATCCTTGATTTCGCTCTCATCAAGAGGGAAACAGATGCACAGAATGGATCCCACTACTATTTTCATGCTACTTGTGATAAGCGTTGACTTCTTTGGACTGTGTAACTCGAGCCTTCACACCGCAAAGCAAGAAAGGGTAAGAGGTATGGCTCTACTCAAGGCCTTAACTAAAGGATTGCGTTACAGTAATGTAAGACAGGGGGACACTCCCAGGCGTCCTCTAAAGGTCATTCAGCCTGAGCGATACACAAAACTGTCTCCCTTCGAATAGAAGCTAAATCTTAGGTAGATGCAAACAGGTGAGGCCGTCCACAGTCACCAGACGCGCACTAACCCCAGAAGCTCAAAGGAGATGCACAGGTGATTTCGGAAGTAAAAGTACTCCTTCATGTGGATGACGTTGTGGAGGTTGTCTTTGTCTTTCCTTTTTATCACATCCAGGATCTTCAACTCCACCAGGGCTTGGTGATGAAACCTACACATGCATTTACGGAGGGCGTTAGATAGGTTGAATACTAAAATATTACATGATTCATTTTATTATTTATTTCTGAATTCCCAGGTAGGGAAAGGGCCACAATAAAATGATATACATCTTTAAATTCTGACACCAAATAAGGATCAATAGCAGCACTTTTTGGAAATGTTTGTTATACTTTATGAACGTTTCTGCTGTTGATGATGTTTGAGGGGTTTGTCCCAGGATATCAATCCCTGAATATTTACTTACTAGTATTGATATATATGTCAACAACACACTGTCCCCTGCGTGGAGAAATAAGCAAAGTTCTCCTGAGACAAGCAGTTTGGACCATTTGGTTTTCTGCATTTTCAAAGCAGCAGTAAGACCCATGACCCCTGCATCTGACCTCTAGGACTAACAGCTGCCGCTGTGTAAAGTAGGATTCCAACTTCTATAATGCTAAATCCAAATCTCAACCATTTCACTCAAATTTGACTAAAATGTAAAATGCTTTTGTCTTTTGGGCCTTGGAAAAACCTCACAACAAATTGAGTCCTTTCTTGTGATGTTTAAGTTATTTAACTTAGCCCAATCAAAAGTGACATGGTTGGAATGAAATGAAATAAATCTAAATTAAATATTTGAGTGTACTGGTACCTTTTCTTATTGCGTATCATCTTAATGGCCACGAGTTCATTGTTCTTATGGTCCAGGCATTTCAGGACCTGCCCAAAGGAACCTTTCCCAATCACTTCGAGCACTTCAAACCTGTATCCAATATGGTCATGCAGCACCTGAAGAAGACAAAAGGAAGAGCACTGTGAACACTGGAGCATTATGCACTGCATGCTTTTTTTACTGAAACAAAAATATCCATCATTTGATAATAACGACGCGGTTGATGGGCTCTGCATCATGCTCACTCGCACTGATCCGCTGCGTGCTACAGTTTCCGCTGTGCTTTTCTGACGCTGTCACTTCAGGCTTGCAGCAGTGAGGTGAAAGTCGCTCAGCCTTAAACAGCTCATTCATCACACATTGTCTAACAAATAGCGGCCTGTCGGTCGCCTGATTTCTACAAGACGGTTCGCCCCGTTGTCACCGGGCAGGACAACCGCAGTTCAGTTCATTGTGTTCAGTATAAAACAATGAAGTCCGCCAAACAGACTGTCTGCAGCTGCTGGATTGAGGTCACATGAAGGCGGTGCATTTTTAATGTTTCCACGGGGCCAATTATAGAACTATACTGGGGATTTAACACTATGACTTTTAGTTAGAAAAATGTATTCCTCCAAATTTGCGTGAGATACAGTCCAAAATTCTATATGGTCAATATTTAGTCACCTTTGTTAAGCAACTTAGGATTTGCAAAAGCGTAAATCCTTTTTATCCAGGATGCTTGTGTGCATCGTTTAGATGAAATTGAAAGTTTGAGAGTTTCAACAAAAACATTTCTAAATAACCTCAAAATTCAAAAGAATAGTAAAAAAACAAACAAACGAAAAAATTAAATTGTAACAGTTACATAGCTTTGACTAAACAAAATACTCGTTTTGCGACAGACCAACCATCTTACCCTGACGTAGCTTCCATGCTCGTCATCATATCCAGAGTTCTGCGGTGAACCTTGGGAACCCTCGATCTTCTGAGAGCCCAGACCAAGGAACCAGATCTCTGCGTAGTCCATGATTTCCTCCTGCTCAAACTCCGTCATCCGGTCCTTGAAGTTCTTCAGTGCCTCTGCAAGTAAGGAGGAGGCTGAGATGAGTCACTATCACATGGATGACATCGCTGCCAGCAGAGGAGGATCGTGAACAATCGACTTCAATAACGGCATGCTATTTTTACTGCATCCTCTCTTAGAACCCCCCCGAAAGATTCAATGTGAGATAAAATCTATGCAAATATCTCAGTATTACATTCTCATCCACAGTGTCATACCTGTGGGGGACATGGGTAACCTTTGTCCTTCGTATGCCTTCTCTTTCTCCAGCTTGTTGCTGAAAATCTTGCTGTTGCGGGAGACGGACACTTTATCCACTGCTGTACCGATGCGCATGCCGAACTGCTGGGTGGGCTTCGACCTCTCGTCCTGTACAATACCACACACGCACCACAGACAGCAAAGTACCTTTGTAATTATGGGCAAAGAAAAGACAAAAGTAGTGACATTTCCCGTTCGCGGCATCTAATTTGCTGTTTTTTAGTTTTGAGTTCTATGAGCTACTGCGGAGAAATATTGATGCTTCATTTGTCTTTCCATCAGAAACATCATTAGGCGCCTTAATGCAAAATAGCCGCCACTACAGAATACTACAGTCTCACCGGGTGTGCCTGGTAGTTGTTTTGGCCCCCTTTGTTGGCAATTTGGGGCAAGATGTTGTCCGACTGCTGTTGTTGGTTTTTGGCATTGCTGACCACAACCTGGACCACCGGCGGCTCAAGCGCGGGCAGGGTCCCTCACCAGGGCCGAACTTCTGTGAACCAGAGGGATTGTTTTTTATTTTCACCACATTGACTAAAGAAATGCACATTAGAAACAATGAAGATAAACACAGTCACTTGACAGACACACGAAATAAGGTGATGATGGAGGAAACAAGATCTTTCAGTCCCGCCGACAACCTAAAATGTCTGGCAAAGAATGCAGAGCTCATTCTAATGCCAAAAAAATACATAGTGAGAAAAAAACGACCAAAGAAAATGGCCAAATTCCACAGCTAGTTAATTCCCTGTATGGAACAGCCCACAGTGTTCCAATATCAACCACTGAACTGCCCATCTCCACACAACAAATGCATCTGGAAATACTGGGTGTGAATTCCAAATGAATGTTTCTTTTTGACAGCGTAGCCATGAGCCTGTTACAAGCCCTCTCACTTTATCGGTCGGGCTCGAGCTGGTGGTTTGTGTTCTCAACTCGCGATCTGCATCCTTTTTTCACGTGCATCCCGTCCGAGGCCGCTCAGGTGACCAGGACCCCCAGCAGGCGGCGGCGGCTGGAATTACTGATCAGGTTCAGAGTGAGACGAGGACAAAGCGCGCGAGGCTGGAGTCCTGACAGAGTCTGTCTGTAGTGGCTCTGCGGGGGAGGTGGAGAGCAGCGGCCTGCTTTTCACTGGCTGCCATGCAGCTTGCTCCGGGAGCATGATTACATGTGTCACGGTTCTAGCGAGGTTCAGCCCTGGCAATGACGGGCAAAATTAGACCTCGGCCCCGTGCCAAGTACTGCGGGAAAAGTGAGAAACCCCAAAGAATAGTATCAGTGTCAACGGAGGCATCATACCAGGGGTGTCAAACTCATTTTAGGTAGGAGGCCACTTGAGGCTGGACCAGTCAAATTATGGAGGAACGCTGTCGTCGGCCCCCCTGGTCTAACACACTCACAGAGTGTGACCCCCTGTGGACGTTTTAGGAATAGCAGCTACTTTTACAGAAATGCGATTTATGTCTTTCTGTCATTTTTACACTTAGCTAAGTCATCCGGCGGGCCGCACCGGAGCCCCCCCGGCGGGCCACTGGGACACCCCTGCATTATACAGTATATTATAGGACATGTTTTCCCTGACCGAGCAGGAATTCCACTCAAATATTAGGTGGAATACTTGAAAGCAGAGCCGCCTCTACATCCTGGGTCCTTGCATGTATTCTATTAGCAACAACATTTATTTCATATAATCATTTTTACCAACATTTTAAGGAAAAATGTGTTCCTATCCAAACAGTAGATAGTTTGAACATCGCACGTGTTGGGGGCTGCTGCAGGATCTGCCAACTTGATTATGACGCATAGAGATAGGGCTAAATATAGTTGCCAGCAACTGCCACAACAGGCGAAGGAAGTAAACACAGTTATGAGCCAGTGTGTAACCAGGGACATGCTGCCTTTAAAAAGCTGCACTTAGACCCCATAACAACATAAATGCGGACAAAAGTCTGCAGCAACATTTATCATTTTCCTGAGGAGTTTGTCAATTTTAAATTGGGCTCTTTTCCAATGAGTTGCTTGGTTAATGATCAAAACAACATAACAAGCATCTGAGCACGAAGCATATCTAAGTCTTTTATTTCTAATAGGAGACAACATTGTGGAGTAGCTCAATGCACGTCAATGAACAACAACAACAAAAAAGAGACTAACTCTCTCTTCAGCAACACTGATGAAACAACTCCTTAAACCTCATGTAGGTCTAACACCAAATGTAAATGATGCCCCTGTTGGTTCTCGTGCTGGACCAGTGCCCAGCTGCTACAGCGTCTTGCTGGGGGGGCAGCGCTGACCTGTGAGCATGGTCGGTTCGTTCCAAGACGGTTGCTTTCTGCCGGCAGCCTGTGAGGGTGAGGGAAGGCCTCCGGGCGCGACGTCTGCGGGAGGAATGACAGCAAGTCATTAAAAAAACAGCTATATTTTTCTTCAAATAGCGGCAATGCATATAACATAATCAACTCCCTAGGTGAGATTTAGAAATTATTTCAAGCCAAGAGGCGAACCAAAGCGGTTGTGAATAATAATGAACAAGAATAAGTGCTGCTGCGTGGATTCCCTCGTCTCTCCAGAAACACGCAGCCTGTGGGCAGCGAGACGTGAAGATGATCCCGAAATAGATTACTTACTGTGTACCTGCTGGTCTGCGCAGGTGTGTGAACATGTGCACGTCCATGTGTCTGGCTGCGGGTGTCCACGCGTCACCAAGCCTGCGCGCACTACAGATCCACGTTTTCTAAATCCTATATGTCAATAGGAAGTAATAAAGAGACAGAGCTCTGAATCTACTAAAGTAGCACACGCGTTTGGAAGGATTGTGTGCGATTCTCTCGGACACCAAAGCCAGCTTACACGTGCCTCGTTAATCAGCTGGTAGGCATTGGCCGACACCATATGGGCGAAATAGAGCTTAGGGATACGTGCTAAACCTGCATTTGGGTAGTAAGGGAGTGACGGGCTGGTTGTGGTCTACAGGTGCTGGAAAAGAAACGGGTTTTACAATCGAACAGTAAACCTCTGATTGAAAAAAACAAAACCCTAACAGCTGTCACGGATAAGAGGACTAGAGGCTGAACTGACTTCTTACCTACTGGATGTAAACACATCCTGCACACACTCATTGGCTTCCCCCGTCACGTTGATGCAATCCTTTAGAAAGCCAGCATCAGAACACATATTCCGGGGCTGCCCTACTTTAGTCGATTACTGTTGATTAAATCAACTAATCGATTAGTCGACAAAGTCGTAGGTGTTTGCCAACTATTTCTGTAATGGACGGCCCCAATGCTACAAGGATGTAGTCACGTTGCAATGTGAGGAGCACAGTGAGTCACCTGTGAATGCCGTAAGCCTGGCTAATGAGCACAGACGTATACATAAACACGTGTGCGTTTCTCACGCCTGCATTTTTCTTACAGAAACATCTATCATTGATTGCTAAAATGAATGTTTGCTCAAGAAAGCATATGGGAAAGTAAATCATTATTCCTGCGTTGCCATAAATACAGTCCATTTGCACCGGGGCGCTAATAGAAGACATCAAAGCGGGCATTAGCTCTTAATGTCCCGGCGGGTATAAATAAAATTGGATGTGAAATAGATGAATGGAGGTGGGAAAAGATGCCAGGAGGAATGCTGACTCTGCTCGATGTGAATGCGGGGTCTTGACTGCAGGTAGGGTCATATCCTGCGGGGCGTGAGAGCCACTTTGGGTCCCCAAGGGTCAGTTGGTCAGAGGGTCAGCAAAGCAATGAAACCAGGAGTAACACCAACAAGCTGTGAAACTGTACCAGCTGTCCGACATGCCAGCCCCTCTTTCTTCTTTGTATATTCACACTGCACTGTTGTTTGATTGCACTCAACGGGTTTTTCCCCTTTCGTCATCAGATGTGACGGAAGGTTTTGGCTTTCGTATAATTAGTTTGTCAGCGCACACCTTCAATTTATTTTTGAAGGTGTGATTCTAAAAACGGCACGGTTTAAATTTGCCAGCCCCCATGTAAGGTGTTTAAAATACACCGGAACGCATATAGAATCCTGTCAGCGCAACAGACACGGAAATAAAAATGGATCAAATTTTTCATCACAACTTGGCATGCGCTGTGGAGAAAGGAGGCAGACCACAGATAATGTGAATAATTCCAAATTGAGAATCACTTTACATTCTCGGTGTGTATCAATAGAAGCGATTCGATGATGTACAGTGAGTGTTTGTTATTTTAGTTCATCAACGTAAAAGGATACCTGTGGAGGGTTTTTCCCAAAATGGAATTAGCCTGGAACGAAGCCCTGTATCTGGGCAAAATACATTCTTATTCCATGGAAAAGCCAAAATAGTAAATGTACTACAGAAGAATGCTCAAGTTACATAATGACAGATAAAGTTTGGTTGTAACAGTATAAAGACGCTTTGATTGGTCACGCACTGCTTTCAAATCGACCACATTACAAACCAGAGCACCACTTTCAAGCTCTTCTAAACCTCAAGAAACTACTATTTACCTATTACCTACCTAACTATTAACCATCCAAGTTGCCGGCAAAAAAATGCCTCACCTTGTTATTTATTTCTGGCAGCATGTTGTTCGTTATCAGCGTCAGTCTCTACAGCGGCTTCCCGAATCCACACACGGAAGAGAGTTTTTTAAAATCCAACACAAGACACATTGTGTCCGACCCCGCCGGTCCAGCCTCACAACCCAGGCGCACTTTCCACAACTCCGGCAGCAGTACTAAATCAACCCCGACGAGTAGGCTACAATCCCCGAGGACCGATCGGATCCGCGGACCAGAAGCTGCGCGCTTTTACGCGCGAGGTGCAAGTGCCGCCGTCGTCAAGAGATCCGATTAGCGAGTGCGCCGAGCTGCGGAGGGTCTCTGCGCCTTTGGCACGTTCCGCCGAGGCACCGGCGCAGACCACCTGTTCAGGTTTCCGCCGCTGACAGCTGGAGATGTATTGATATAGATTGCTTTTTTTTATCCATCCGCCCACTCACCGTGCCGTGTGACTGATGCGCTGTGCGACACCGACGCTTTTTTCTTTTTTTACAGACGAGGGTTCACACCGACGCGCGCACGTCGTGGTCGACGCTTATTTTACCGTTAAATGTAGTGCTCACTCCTGCAAAACCTCACCACGCGGTCTCGTTGGCATTCTGTAAATCGAGTCGGTCTCCGATGAATTGACAAGAACTGATGGTTTCACTCGTTTCCATTTGGTTTTTGCCTTTTTCCCCCTGGGGGTTCCTTGACTCTGCGATCGTAAAAACAGAATATGAGAGGCCTCTTCCTGTGTCAAGTTTCAGGTCTGGGGCCCTAAAAAATAAATTCCCAACCTGCAAAAATACGTTTTTGAACCGTGATTGTCTCCTGAGAGTGAAATCTGTTTCATAATTTGTACACAAGAGCCAAGACAGAGTCAATGTCCACCAATCCATAAACGGTCAGAAAGAAGTGAAGGACCCCGTCTTTGTCCTTTTTGAAACTGAACTGCGGCAGTTGATGGACGGCCAAGAGCTTATCTTTTTTTCTTAGAGCAAAAACTTGTAACAGGAGAACAGATACTGCGCGTTTGTCTCGCTGCCATGATGCACACGTATAGAAGACAATTGTTTTCAACGACTAATCCCCACTGCACGAAACTACTCAATTGTGCGATGCGACATGGAGCCCAGAACAAGCACGCTGTGGATGTGACTATATGGCAGCTGCTATGCAACAGTAGGGGCCACTTCATCAGCCTCAGGACAGAGCAAGAAGCCATCGAGGAAGCTGCACCCTTCTAATCAATTCCCCTGATTCCCTAATATTTGTTTGCGTTTAAGAACTTAGTTGTACTACAACATCACATAATGTCAAGGTTAAATCAGTTTAGACGTACGTTGCATGGAAAAAGTGACAAGCAATTGAGAGTGGCCCTTCAGGGCAAATAGAGGCAAATAACCTGGCCTAATTATTAGTGATAAGGGTTAGTGTAATGATTTTAACACACCTGCAGTTACCAAGAATGAGAGAGAGATCCTCGACACGCGACTTTAAATGAATAGTTTGACCTTATCAACGGAGGAAGCACAGCGAACAAACTCCAGCAGGTTTAAAACCGTGATGCAACATCGCTAACCACGACACCGACGTGCCACTCATACGAAATACACAACCGTTTGTAAAAAGATGTCGACATGCCAAAAGAATCGCGTCCGATAAATCATCAAATTCTACCATCTGCACATAACCTCTTCTGTTCAGTGGCAGGAGACCAGGGTGGCCGCTATGGCTCATCTTCTGCGTCATCACTATATGCCCCGGGGCCATGTGTTCTCCCTTTCTATACAAACTCTTCATCAACCCCCATCTCAACATACTTTGAATATTCTGCGGACACAACCGCATTCGCTCTCTTCACGGGGAGGAGAATCGTCCACAGCCCACCAACAATCTGTTGCCCTTTTCACCTTGTGGCGGTACTCACACTCAGCTCCTCCTCAACGTCACCAAGGCGACACCCGCATGCCATCGCTAGCTCATCACAACCCCTATTTCCCATTTCTCGCTGCCATCCGCAAACTGAGGGCCCTCTCAAACTACATCATCGAGAACATCCTCCTGTCACGGACCCGGCCATCCCTCGCGCAGCACTGACCGTAGCACGCGACTGCTACCGCATTCTCCTAAACGGGCATCAGCCTGATCAACTCTGGGTGCGGATGTAGACAGCTTCTCAGCCATCACTGCCTTCAAAAGGCAGAGGGGGTGCGGTAATAGACTTGTGTTGTCTTGGTTGGATGTTCTTGTTCATTCATGCCCTGTTTCTGAGTGTTGAAAATGTCTTATGTCTTCGGTATGTAAATATCAAATAGTCAATAATTAAACAGCTGAAAAGTCAGCCACTGAAAACCATGCCACTGTTCACGTGGGAGATTCTCCGCTGTGTGCATGTTGTCCCCCCGAGCGACAACGCACTGGTGAGCAAAAGAATGCAGATACGGTATATACAGTATCTCACCATGGCAACAGAGAATTGATGAAACATAAAGAAGGAGGATTGTGAGCAACTCTGAAAATAGAGACTGAACAAGAAAAAAAGGAGTGCGTGTGGGCATTTAGATACCAACATACCTCCGGTTGGATCCTCCTTTTCCTCCTCCAGCAGTAGTCATGGAAGAGGCTAAAACCACAGCAGGTAGGCAAGGTCCCGTCTTCGCTCATAGCACATCTCCCTCATGCTGCCACAAACCCGCCCTGAAGACAACCTCAGCCTCTGGAGGAGGGGAGGTTGCTCCACACGGGTCGGAGATCAGAGAGGCGCCCTCAAAAGCCAAATGAAGGACGGTGATGATTCCAAAGCCCGGGCCTGCATCTCCTCCTGCCCGTAGTCTAGAAA